TTTTTGTGTGTAACACGTCTTTTTTTTTGTTTTGCAACACGCCTATTAGGTTATTTATAATATTATACAAACTATGGAGTACCGGAATTTCTTGGTATGAATTTCCAGGGGGGGCCCGGGCCCCCCCTGCCCCTATGTAGCGGCGCCCATGATATTAGCGTTAACTTATTTACATATTATATGAAACCTTTTTTCTATTTTTTGTGTAAAAATATTCATATTTAAAGAAATATTAGGCAAAATAACAACTTTTATAAAAAATATGTATATTTATGTATTTTATTAATTACTCCAATACGTAGTTTATTGCACAATTCACTTATAATTTATACCAAAAAACTTGTTAGCAAATATTGTATTGATATAGATCTAGTTGCTCCACAAGCATTAGCCATATCAAACATATTATATCCTTCCACTACGATTATATCAAAAACCTTAATAATTTTCATTACCTAAACTTATTAATATTATTGTGACACCTTTATATTCTCAATCTTTGTTAAAAATAAATTAAATACAAAAATGAGTAATATTTTAAAAATAAGTTATAACAATAACAAAAACTTAAAAAAATGTGCTTGCACTGTAGCGACTTTTTTAGGTAATACATATCGATGTTATGCTATAGCATATAGAGTAGTAATAACAGGATAATTATAAGCAATTTTTGTGTGTAACACGTCTTATTTTTTGTTTTGCAACACGTCTATTAGGTTATTTATAATATTATACAAATTATGAAGTACCGGAATTTCTTGGTATGAATTTCCAGGGGGGGGCCCGGCCCCCCCCCCTGCCCCTATGTAGCGGCGCCCATGAGTAGTATGTATTTAATTGATTTTTTTAACTTATGAGATATTTGACTGCATTTCTGTGTTGAATTCGGTTACAAAATTTCCATAGCTTTACCATAGTAGGGCAGTATACTTATTTAACATAAACTATAACAAACAGTTTATCAACTGCAAATGAATCAACTAAGCTTATTCTAATATCATCATAGTCGCCTCTCGTATAATAGCTAATACCTGTCAAAAGAAATTAACCTCACTTTTAACCAATTATATTATTTTTTCTTTATTTCTTTCAATAAACATTATTTAATAGGAATCTGGATAATATTTAAAATCATATTTGTGTGTTTGTATCATTAGTATTTAAAAATAGATGTAATTTATTGTTTAGTGTTTACAACTATTGTCTTCTTTCTATTTTACATTTTTTAAGTAGTGAAACAATATTTTTGTAACTAACTAGTGTAACAATAGCGTACTTCCCCAGTAGCACAAAATATAGGTCCTATATGGGGCGCGTCTATGCCAAATCTTTTATCTGGTGCCAATATTGGATTTATTTAGCCGATATTAGCCCTATATTGGCATGAAATGATAATTTAATATATCTTGCCAATGTTTATCCAAGGTTGGTCCTATATTGGCATATTATTTTACGCCAATATATCATTAACTATAGTCAACGATGCTTTCGTATTTCTAAAAGCCATCCTTATTGTTTGGCACCAAATCCAAACCCATGGGTGAATATAATTAAGGCCATTCTTGCATATTCGCATAAGAATAACAAGGGTAATATGCGATTTCTTCTCTCATTAGCAATAAAATTCGTTATTACATTAATAAAGCTCAAGCTGATCATTTTAGCACCTGAAAACAAACGTTTGTCGATACTATCGTGACATATCACTTTTAGAAATCCTACTACGTAGTAAGTACTTGGTGGCTATCTTTTTTTCCTTTCAATTTCTCCCTCAACTTTCCTAGAATATAATGTAAAACAACTTCGGGCCAATGCGGATTTCCAATATCGGTTATATAATGTCAAACAACTTCTGGCCAATGTTGGGTTTCAATGCTAGAAAATCTGACAAAAGATATATTGGCTCAATATTATTACGAATATTGGGCCAATATCTTTGCGCTACTGGGGTTTGTTCATTTTTTTCGAGCGTATAATATCTTAATTCCAGGTAAATGTGGGACAAAATCATTAAATGTATTTATTTTTTAAATTAAATCACCTACGGTGACTTTTGGGTTTTTTTAATTTTTGGTTAATTGCGATAAATTTGTTTTTCTACTTCTATTACGGAATATGACCGATCTAATATCACTTTTTAATGTGGAATGACATATATTACTTAAAGTATTACAGAATGAATTATTCTATCATAGGATGACGGAATAAACACTGGTGGCGACATCTCTGTTTTAATATATAACAAATTTTAGACCGGTCTAACCTAACTTTCTCCAAATTCAATTATTTTTCTATGTTATTTATCTGTATTAGGGCCACCAATTTTCCCTAAAAGTAGTGATTCCCATGAGAGTCTCGTTTTCGAGAGTCTCGCATGGTCTCGTCTCGTTTTCGAGACGAGACTCGAGACGATATTTGGACCGGACGAAACGAGACGAGACTTTTATTGGTATCGTCTCGAGTCTCGAGCGAGACATCTGAAGTCTCGTGCGAGAGTCTCGCAGGAAAATATTTTTGCGAAATATTAAAGCATTATTGTAAAACTAACTGGATTTATGCTGAAGTTTTAATTCTCGATCCGCGGCATAAATTAGAAGCATTTGATATGACAAGATGGGGCCAAGAATTAAAACTGAGTTCGATCAAGAAATTTCAAGATATATACAAAGTTTATTTTTATCAATCAGAGGGACAAGGTTTAAAAAAAAAAACGGCGGTCGAGGGACAAGAAGATCCTGAACCAGAAAAGTCGGATTTTGTAATCGATGTCTTGTATGCAGTAAATCCTAGCCCTGTCGAAGGAGAATGGATGCAGGAGCTTCAAAAATATTATTCTATGCCCCGGTTACAATGGTGGAAAATTCATGCTTCTGAATTGCCCATTCTTAGTTTGATGGCACGAGATCTCCTAAGCATACCGGCTACTTCAGTCCCGGCGGAAAGATTGTTCTCACGTGCTGCGTTAACTATAAGAAAACATCGAAATCGCCTTAATAATGAATCTGCACGATGTTTGTTATGCCTAAACGACTGGGTGAAAAACAAAAATATTTGCGATCCAGAAAGCTGTTAGCAGATTTGTTTCCAATTATTCACAAAATGTTAGGATTTCGTTTTATTTAAAAGTAATATTTCAAATAGATGATATTATCTACGGTTGTATTTTTCTCTTCCCACCCTTACATTATAGCAAGTAGGTAAGTATCCGGGATACTTACCTACTGCATCCCTTACTGGAACAAAATTATCCATGAAGGGATTTCGAGACTTTTGCGAGACTCTCGTACGAGAAACAAGACGAGACGAGACTGGAGGCTGCGAGACGAGACTTGATACGAGACTTCTTATTTCATCGGCGAGACGAGACAAGACTTTATGAAAGTCTCGTCTCGTTGGTCTCGTGGGAATCACTACCTAAAAGAATGTCTCAAGTTAAAAATAACCTAAAAACTAAAACACTGACAGTGACAATATCAACCATTAAGGTCATTTTACACTACGATTTTATATTGAATTTCTAATATTAAGCTGCACATTATAGTTCTCCTACCTCTAATCATTCTGCTGAAACACACCTGTGATTGTCTACTTTATTTTATTAATAACTAATTAATGGTGCGTCTGATCGAAAAACAGCAAAGACTATCCACCCCTTTTCTGCTATCCTTGACTTTTGAGACACCCTGTATAATTTTTATAAATAATGTTTATAAAAAAATTTAATTTTTAACTTAATTGTTTTTCTGTGAGTTTGTCACTGTTATTTAGTAAACACTGACTTACTAAAACGGAACCAACTATGAATTTGTCAAAATGTGAAAATATTAAAAATGTTAATGGGTCACTCATCAATTTAGAATAATAGTGACATATGTTGAGAGTCCCAAACGACAAAAAACGTTTGCAAAGCCACTTGGTATACCTACTTCAACCCAAATTGTATAAGAAAACTAGTAATAACATATATTTAAGAAATTTGAACTGTAGGTATCCCTTCATTAAGAATATAGAGACTCTATTGTAGAGGAAAGAAAAGTGCCTAAATGTCTAGTATTTTATACAAATTCGCTATTATTTTTAAAAAAAATATACAAAATAAGATCAATATCTATGATGTTGCTGATTTATAGTTTTGATGATCTTTATAAAATCAGGATGAATTGTAACAATGTTATCGATATTTAAAATCTGCTGCTTCCGTTTCTTCTTCTGTTGAACAGAATCTGTTCATCTAAAATTGTAATGGTTTTCATATGGTTTGCCGTGCTAGTTTAAAGGAAGTTACTTTTACTCATCAGGAGTAGGTATCTACCTAGGTATTTTTTTCTAAAACACTAATCGCCTCTGATCTTTATTTTTTGAAGTTTAAAAATTGTTTTATTTTGTTTACTGTTTCTATAAAAGTTTTTAGGTTGTGTGCCTACAAAATAAAGTAAAATTAATATTGAAAAGAAGTAAAATGTTTTTATTTGTGTTTATATAAAATTTCATTATTTATAAGTTTAATGAAGAGCATCGACAGTAAAATATTTGCTTTCATTAAATAAATATTTAAAATTCCAATTAACAAATAAAATGCCAGGATTTCAGGAAAACAATATTTCAATTGCAAGCAAGCCTCGCAGAATTTAATAAGTTCTGTCAACCATCATTAAAATGGACTTGAAACTAAAAATACGTGTAATTCCTTTTTTGTAATTAAGCAAAAGTAATATTTGTTTCATCTTATCGAAAAAAGGAAGGAGAACAAGAAGAATAAGAAGAAAATTAAAAATCGTCGTCATATCCTGGTGTGTGCACAGCACTAGAACGAGGGAATGTCACTCACAGAAGTCCAAGTGAGGGCGTCCTAGTGCTGGCGCATAGCTAGAAAAGTGGTGGGGATGCGGACCGTTGGATGCGGCTGATTGGCTCGAACGAAAGGTCGCAGCAACGAGTGGGTGCGGCCTGAATGTTGGCTCGGCCCATTGGTGGAGCGTGTGCAGCATCACCAAGAGAGACGCAGACAGTGTTTAGATGCGTCATTGTGCCGTCGGTAAACTGAAGAGATCTAGGCAGACCCTGACGGGTTAACTGGGAACTACTACTACGTTTGGGTGATTGAATGAAGCAGCGATGTTTTGTTAGTTCGCAATTATTACAGGCCGGTGTGATTAGATAAGCGAGCGATTTGACAGTAACATATTACAGGCGGCATCGACAGACACTCCTCATCTTTTTATTAATTAAATCTCGACGTTTCTGATTGTGATGTTGGTTTTGTGACAGTGTTGTGATTACCGGACACTTGATTATTATTAAAGGTAAGTTTATGTTTTTTCTTTTTAGTTTCATTTTGGGATTCTTTTTTATTTTATAAAGTCAAACATACAAATATTTGTTACACCATTACTTTTTCTAAATACCGGATTCTCTTAAACCATCAATCAACGCATTGCATTTTTTTAGATCTTTCATAAGGTCTCGTTAACTAAATTTAAATATTTTTTTTTCTTTTATCAAAAATTGTATTTACCTATTTTCGAAAAATCATAATTTATATTTTTATGCAATAAGACAAATATTTTTTTAAATATAGCAATATATATTACATAATATGTCAATATTTAAGAACTACCAGTGTTTAGTCAGAAAAACTTATATATACCTATAAATGTTCTGCAAGTTCATCATCCAATTAAATAATAATTTCAGAAATACTTAGACTGATTTGCATGTAGATATAAGTATATATGTAAGTATATATTTTAATAATTTGGAAATTTTTGTAAGAATGTTTTTTATTTTTAAAACCAGAAAGAAAAACAGTTGTAACAAATCAAACAGATTCTATTTTTGTTTGTTCCCGGCGCATTCGCCAAAATTTTAAATATGACAAAATAAATAAATCGGAATATTCAGAGTTATTTTAGATTTTAAAACAATAACGCACCGTGTAATATTATTTATTATTAGATTGGTAAAAAATATTCACAAAATATAAAGGCGGTTGCTTAAGCAACAATAATTGTTTTCGACTAATTTTACCCTCCAACGGCGACTGATCTACCCTAGTGGGGTTAATTTATTTATAAGTATATATACATACAAATAATTTTTGAATTTGGATTGGGTCTCTAAACCTCTTAAAAAAAATCCTGTAAATTTTTAGCTTTTAATATTAATATTACCTGACCACCTAGATATATAAATGTCATAATTTAAAAATGTAATCTACCCCAAAATTATTGTATAACAAAAGGGTTATTACAAAACAAATTCTATTGTAAACACGCAAGATGTCAACAGGTTTTGAATTAAACATTTTTATTTACAAAATACAAATAAAATTATACAGAATTAGAAATAATATTTTTAAAAATTAATTTATTTATTTATTACACTTTCTTTATTGTAACTATAAATAAACGTCACAAGGTTTAAGATATGATTTATTTGATGAGTTTTCACCGCGAAACTGAAAGTTTAATATGATTTACCTACCTAAAACGACAAGTTTTTTATTTATAAAACAAAATTAATGACCTTTTTAATGCGTAATTAAAATGACAACATAAAATAAACATTTATTTAATGAAAATTAATTGTTTACATAAATTACAAAACTTTATTTTAATGTCACTTCCCACACAATCCACCAAAAATTCAAATCATTTTTCATAGGAAAAATAATGAATGACCGCTTGTCTCAAGAGTGTAAAATTGGTGTGCCGCAAGTATCTTTATTAGTCCTAATAGACCCAAAAATCGTGAGAACAATTCATTTGAGTTTTTACCTGGACCTGTATTGAGTTTTCCAAATGCGTTTTAAACTATCAGGGACATCTAGCGGTTTGTCGACGTAATAAAGCTATTTGTGTGTTGCCGACGGGCACTAAAATTTAAAAAGGGTGAGAATTAAGGTCCACATAATTATTATGTTTTTTGAGGAGAGTGTTATATTTAAAGATAAATAAAATTGCATACACAATATACAATACTTTTTGGTTATTGCACTATTAACGATTCATAAACAATTGAAATACTTTTTAAATACAAAATTAATTAAAAAAATAATATGCAATATACCTATTATTTTGATTTATAATAAATTAATTAAGGTACATTTTTGCATCTAATCCTACTAAGAAGAAAACATTTAATTAATTAATATTAGTGCTAATATTACATCAGAAACATGCATTACAAGTGCATTAATTATTCAAGTATAATTCTAACATACAAACTGGTAGGATTAATTGCAACATGACGTGAAGCATTGTCTGAATTCAATAATTTCAATATGCTTGAGTGTAATTACAATTAGCAATTAACAAATTAACAGTGTATTTGTGTGTATACATACAATTAGAATCTGTAGGTTTATAATACCGTATTAATTGGGAGCTTAGAAATCTTATTTGAAAATAGGTATATGTATACAATTTTATAATTTTATTTAACTGTGATTTGTTACATGTATGCTTTAATTTATTAGGCAAATTATCAATAAAAACATAAAGGTACCGTTTAAATTAAACTATTTTGAAACTTTTGTTCAAGTTATAATTAGACACTGTCTAATAAACAGGCTTAAAATACATTTTTAAAATTAAGTTACCTAGTTTATTTTTAGATAAACTTTTTGTTTTATAATTTGAATAATAATAATTGTTTCAATTAAATAATTGTAACCCCTGTGAATTTACCATTTTTAAATACCCAAATGCAGTGATGATTAAAAATAAAACGGTTTAAAGTTCTAAAAATCATTTTATCAATTTCTATTGCATAACTTTGTTTTTGTTTTCGTAAATATTAATAAACATTATAAATTCCCTGCCTAACAACTTGAATATTAAACTTATTATTCACGTTGTTATACATCAGTGATTGGCCGATTTCAATATTCAGTGTGATTTGAATCAATCGGGTTTTAAATTGGAAGAAGGCGACTATAATAACATTTAAAATTGGTAAAAACTAAGGTTAACCATTTGACAGAGGTCAGATTTTATTTATTTAATTTTGAAATCCATTTAATTATCTACTTATTGGAGTAAATAAAGTATAGTAGTATACTAGAGATTTTGATTATCTCTCGTATAATAATATACTCTAAGAGTATTACTCTTTGCTCATAAGCAAAAATTCAACAATTTTATTCGAAATTTGTTGTGAAAATGTTATTAGTGACATAGGTTATCGGGTCTTTATAATACATAGTAAAAATAAATTATGGGGGTTTTAAATCTGAAACATCATGTAAATCAACTGAAAAACAATAGAAAACATGTTTCATTCGGGTAAATCTATCATTTTTTAAATAGTTGTAAGACTAAAAATGTTTCATGAATTTTGATGAAAATAAAATTAGGTACTTGTGAACATGTGAAAATTGTTAATTGATCAGATAAAAATTGTCCTAGTTATAGGCAAATTATTACAAAACGTGCAAATCGCAAATTTTATCTTTATCTGGATCAAAATTTATGTCAGTTTTCAAAGAAAGAAAAAATATATATATATATAGTTTTTCCCGATAAGGCAATTTTTTAACAAATTTATAAGCCATACGTATATTTTTCAACTTTTGTTATTTTCATCAAAATTCCCTATATTTTTTACTGTGTATTAGGTGTCGAAACACCCGATAAATATGTCGCTTATTAAATTTTTTACGGAAAACATTTTGATTAAATTTTTGCATAAGAACAAAATAGTTTTATTTAGGAATATCTTCAAAACAAGACCCAAGTGAATAAAATGGATGTTATTTTTGGATTTAGCGGGCCCAGTGTTTTCATTGTCTGTTACCGTCGGTGTAATGTTTGCCTTTATAAAAACTTAAAATTATTAATATTTGTTCTAAAGTCTTCTTGTACTGAGTACTTTTTAAAAATTATTTTAATTTTGTTTGAATAAAATAGTAATTTCGAAAATTTTGAGGTTTATGACGGTTATAACATAATAATCTTAAAATATTTTCTCTACTCCCACCGCCCATTCTGCCGTGCTTAATGAAAACGCCGTAACCAACAATTTTGAGATTTTTGTTTTACGGCATTTTCTACTAGAACAATTCATCCTGCGTCTATCCCCGGTACTCAAAAAACCGTATCTATATATATACGGTTTTTTGAGTACCGGGGATAGACGCAGGATGAATTGTTCTAGTAGAAAATGCCGTAAAACAAAAATCTCAAAATTGTTGGTTACGGCGTTTTCATTAAGCACGGCAGCATTATTGTATATATTTCCATGTCACTAAGTAATCTTTTAAATACACATTGTCAAGTTGTGGCTTTATGGCGTTTTAGTCACGGGCTGAAGTTAGTTTTAAGTTGGTTGACAGTTGTCAAATGTTATACAATCGTTAAAATAAAGTGCCCTTATTGTAAAATAATACTAAATGTTAAAATTATTTTATTATCTCAATACAAAAATACAAAAGCATTAAATATTTTCTTAGCTCCAATATTTGAAAAGTTTATATGGACATTGTACTGACCCATTAATTGCGCCGGCAGTAAATTATATATAACTTAAATTCGGGATCGGACTATACCGTAAAGTCTTAAAAAACATTTTCTTTACTTTCACTGTGAAAAACTGTTCCTAATCCATTTTCAAGGAATACATTTCGATTTATAACAAATAATAATTTGACATTTGACGGCAACACAGTGTTTTATAGAGGTAGCTCTATACAAATATTTAATTTAAATAATTTTTAGAAAATAATAAGTATTTGTCGTAGAAAGAGTATAGTATGGAACACGTTTATAAATTTTTCTAGACACTCATTAATTTAAGCACTCGCCCGCAAGCTCGCTCGTGTCTAAATTAAATTCGTGTCTAAAATGTCGTTTATTAAACTTGATACATAAAATACTATTATTACAACTTATATTAGGATATAATATTCTTTTTCTACTCCCATCCATAAAACATTATCTTTACTTTCCCTGTAAAAAACTGCTTTTTTATCTGATTTAAACGGTTGTTAGTCAATTTTTATAAAATAAATTTTGCTTTGCACAGAAAAATACACCGATAATACAGATTCCCATTCTTACGGCAACTCTATTTTTGTATAGATGTTTTTAGATAATAAGTTTTTGGGAAAGTCTAACCCAAAAGTAGAAATTATCATTACATAATCATCATTTTTTTTAGTAGATACATATGTACTAGTTGAGGTACATCTTCAAATTCCTTTTTAAAATTTTTCATTATCTTTTCCCTGGGACAAATTAAATTTGTTTTCGAAGGGGACAAAGGATAATTACAAGATTCAAAAATGATTTTGAAATAAAAATATTTATATAAAGCTTTATTTAAAAAAATACCTTGTGATATAACAGGCTTAGAATTTCTCTAAAACCTGATGTGATGGGGCAATTCTAAAAGTCAAATTCTAATGTTTTGAACAAATTAAAACAACGAAATTTACAAAACTTAGTTATTTACCTAACTAGTGCGGAAAGTGATATTTTTACGCCGTTAAAGCAGTCGAGTACGAAAAAGACACTTTCCGCGCGTGTAAGGTACAGTATTTTTTCTACAAGTAAGGAAATTTCGCAAGTTTCCATTTCTAGAAAAAAATATTTTTTTACAAGAATACGGAAAGTAGCAACTTTCCGCACGCTTTAGAAAATATATTTTTATAAAAATAAATCAATCGCATCAACAGAGACCTAGAGAGTCGACACCAATTTCCGAGAACGGCTTCGATAATGGGTTAATATGCCAGATTTAATTTTTTGCAATTATTGTATAATGTATAATATACATGTACATTTTAAATGCTACGTTCCAACGAATATTATTGTAGAAATTGGTTTTTAGAGCTAAATTACAGTTTTATGATTATTTCAAAACCAGTAGGTTCCTGTGCCCCAACATGTATATAAAAAATTTACTAGTTTTAATAAATTTTAGGTTAGTTTTAGACGTGTTAATGTTATTTTTATGGAAAGATTTTCCAAAATTGATAAGATTTATCGTTTTTTTATATTTCCTTTAAAACCGCCCGACATTATGGCCATCATAATACATCCGATAATTCAGCACAAAAGCCTTACAAATATAGTCAGTTTAAAAAAAAAATAACCTGCTTAATAATTTTTCTAGATTTTGTAAAAATAATTATTACCTACGAATGCCAATACCTAACAATTGATATTTTTCCTTATGATTCTGAGAAGTAAAACTAAAATATAGCCACACAGTGTCTCATACTCCATCCATAAGACACTCGTGTTTTATGATAATTAATAATAGTAATTATATTAAGTATCAAGTTTAATAAACGCCAGCGAATGTTTAATAAAATGAGTGTCTATAAAAGTTTATAAATGAGTTGCATACTATACTTTTTCTACGGTAAATTTTATTAGGTATAAAAAAATTATTACTAATTAATTTAAATATTTGTATAGAGCGACATCTATCGAAACATTTACCTAATGTTTTACCGGCTTTCAAAATGGAAGATAGTTGTCAAATTTTGTGTATAGATCGAAATTTATCTCTTGAAATGAAGCAACAATTGTTAAAATCCGATGTAGAAGTAGTTTTTTAAAGTGAAAATATACTTTATAAAGAGGATGTGTTATGAGTACTCTTCTCGAAATTTTTATTGCTTTATTGGAAAATAAAAGTGTACCGCCGGCGAAATCAAAAGGTGCAAATAAACGTTACAAATATTGGAGTAAAGAAACACATTGAATTAATACATTAATATTATCGGTTTGTAAGAAGTCCTTTTCAAAAACGTCGGCTAACAAAATTTTGAAATCTTCGATATCTTAAGCATTGAATATTTTGTCCAAATTAAGGAGGATAAAATTTTTTTCTTTATATTTATAAATATGCCAGGACGGAGGATTTGTCCTCCGTTGGGAGCAAATGCAAACACGCTTCTTGGGTATCTTTGATAATATTTAAAGAAATATAATCTTTTTCGACTTCTCCCATCTTGAAACTTGGTTGTTTTTTGACAAATTTTTCACGATTTATTATTTGTAATCATCCATAGTAACAATCTTATGACTTGCTAGCTTAGCTTTTTTGTATTGACTTACAGTGTCCAGAATATTACAATTTGGTGGAAGTAATCTGCATAATTATGCCCTTAGTTGTAAGTATTGCACTTCTGGATTAACAAGCAATTAAACACTGGCCGAGTTTCAATTTTTTCTGTTTTATTTGCTTTGCTTTGTAATAAACGTACAATAATTAACCATTTTTAACAAAAAACCTCAAATTAATAAAAACAATTTAAAAATGTATTAAATATGCACGTGCCGCCGCTGATAATGTGTTCAAAGTGTAACAAATAACTAGTTGCAAATTGCATGTTGGTTAACTCTATCCAATAAATCGGTTCATTTTGCCAGCAGTTAATTGATCTAATTAGCAAAAGACCAAGAAGTTAGTGGTTCAGACATCACCTCATGATTAATAAAAGACGCGTACGCTTCTTGTTTAAGTTGTCCATTTATCTTTATGGTGTTTACTTCTTTAAGTTATTACGTTTTTGTCTTAAACAATTAATTACGGTCATTTTAAAGTGCTGTAGCAGTGACTTAAATTTTAAATGAAGACTTTCAGCGAATTAAATAATAAAACCGAAAAATTAAGTTTAATTTTTAGATATCGATAAAGTAGCAAAAAATTCAGCATCCGGACCAGTTTTAAAACCTTTTTGGTTACAGGGAAAGTTGTCAACACACCTTTACCGCAAATATTTTATAAAAGAACATGATGCTTAAATTTGGGTGGCCTAATAATTTTCGGCAGAAAAAATAGACTAATTAAGAAATGATCTTATTTTTTTGCCTTAAGTCTGAATATTTAGAAAGCTATACATGTTTGTTTGTTGATAATATTTTAATGATATACAGAGTGGCGCTGCGCCACTGGCGCAAAAGCAACTAGAAACAGTATATAAAACCAGTATCTAGAATATAACTAAGGGGCCCAATCATTGGGCCCCAATGTAGTAATCAGTCAAACAAATTTTGATAATTATGGCAAAAACATTTTGGGTTTTTGTTCTTTTTAAAATTAGAGGTTAATTTATTGCAAATAATACGCTAAAGAAGTATCGCTAGTAGCGCCACCACTCGGTTGTTATCATCGTAACAAAAGTATAACTTTTAATAATCAGCCGTCAAACGCTTATGATACAAACGAGTGTTAAAAAATATCGAAAAAAAAACGTGGCTCGATTTGTTGTATTGTTGGGTGTATTTCGAGAGGAAATCCTGGGTTGAGTTTTTACCGGTTTTCCAATAAACAGTGTTAATCTGAATGAAGAAATAAATTGCATACAGTCTCTGTAAATATAAATTGTACCTATTAGATACAATAATACACATTTTAGTAGTGATTAACGTGAAAAGTGTAAACATTTCAATTCAGTAAAAATCGTCAAACAATTAAGTCGTCTAAATTTAAACAGCATTAAGCATTATTAAAAGCGTTGATTAAGAAAGTCTCCACTCAACGGTAAAATACCATTATATTATGTATTATATATAATATTATGTTGCCATGAATTCGTAGGTATATTTTGTTGTTTAAAATGCAGTTGTCGGCGTTTTTTAGAGAACTCAAACATGATTTTAGGGTTATGTTTGTGCAAAAATTATGTTTTACTAATTTCTTAAAAATGTCCAAACTTAAATATGAATTATATTAGTTAAAGTTTTCATTAGTTAATTCTGCACCAACAAATGTACTTACCGAATGGGATCCTTTGGCAAAACATGAAAATGCAACGATTTAGTTCTTGAATTTTATTTACAAATAAAAACACAATAATTCACCATAATCCCTTTGATAAAATTCACACACTAACGTAACTATTTAAGCATTTAAGCGTTGAGTTTCTTAATCAATGATATAAGGAATAATCGAGTACTAAAAAAGTTTTTTAATTTTTTCCTTGCACAAACTAACTTGCGCGATTTAGCTGTGTAATTGAACAAAATTTGTCGAGTAAGACTTCTGCCTTCCTCTCTTTTGTAAAAAAACTACCTATTTATTTAAAAATGATGTATAATCTGTGCTTTAAATGTATTGTTGACAATTCTTAAATTCATGCAAGTCCACCAGATGGAGCGCGCGTTGCGAAAACCCGATATTTCTTTAGCGTTTTATGTAAATTTATATTAAAAAAAAAGATTTTCAATTTATTACATTTATTTTCAAGCAAACCTGTACATTTTCTCCTGGATGTCTCAATGTTTGAAATCTTTTGATTTGATAATGATACGCATGTTTCAATTGGGAATATAAATACTAATTAATCAAAAAATGTTTTATTTCCTGTATAAACAAATAGAGCAAACCGTGGTGCCATGAGACACTAGACAGTAAAAGCGCCAGCGTCATGACGCGTCATCGCGATACACCAGTCTGTCTGGGCGCCGTTTGCAGACACTTCCACAACCGTTATTAATATTTATTAAATCAATTAAATTTGAAACATTTTTACATTTCAGCTTTGCTACAAGAGCGCTGTGAATCCGAATAGCCGTTCATTTCGTATCCGATAATGTTGAAAGATAGGGACAGCGTGGAGCGCGGCTCGCCCTGCAGCAGTTTGGGGGGTTCAACGGGGCACGACGTCAATTCTTGTGCAGGATGCGGGGGCAGGATACACGACAGATTTTATCTGCTGGCAGTGGACAGGCAGTGGCACGCTGCGTGCCTGAAGTGTTGCGAGTGTAAACTACCCCTCGACGCCGAACTGACGTGTTTTGCAAGGGATGGCAACATCTACTGCAAGGAAGATTATTACAGGTTAGTACTTAGCTTTTCATGATAAAAATAACTCTCTAAAAATGAATTAGTCAAAAAATTTCATGACCATTTTAACACCAAATTAACATCATACACGGTCTATATCGATACAAACCAAAATGGTGTTAAACATGGTTCATTGGTCCAGTGTAAATTCAAATACTTAAATAGTGTAAATTTAACTTTCACACAGTATCAAAATAAATTTTACCTGGTGTAAATTGTGTTAAATATTATGTGTTTTTGGTCAAATTAAATCATACTAGGTGTAAAGTAAACTTCTCAGTAGTTCGAAAAGATCAAATATTTTTAGATAAACACCGTTCTGGTGTTTGCTGTATATAACATTTTTAACCATAATTCATGGTGTTTATATTAATACCAGTTGGTGTTGGATTTAGACACCATTTTTATATTTCTGCAATCTCGCAAATTAACATAGATCTTCAAGAAATTAATACTTGGTCAAGAAATCATGGACTATTAATCTAACCTTAAGAAACCAGGCATTGATTTAAAAAAAAACTCTGAGATTTTACTAAATAACAATGTGATAAGTGTGAAATACTGTGTTAAAAATCTAGGTCTAATGTTTGACTCTTATTTAAAATTTGACTCTCACATAAGAAACAAACTTAAAATGGCATATGCCAAACTCAAGTCAATATATAGTTTTAAATATTTTTTAAGTAGTGATGTCAAATGGAAACTGTCATGTAGTCATAGAACCTCGAAATTTGAGAAAAGCTTTGAATATTTTGCAGTAAAGATTCTAAACAAATATCACGATATTTTTAACTCAACATACTCTGTAAATAGTTTAAAAAAAATACTCCAATCCACTTTGCTAAGGTAACAAGCTAGTGAATTTTAGTGTAGTAAAATTTAAATATATTTTTTGTAAGTATGTTTTTTTACCAACCTACCTTGTTATTTTTTGTATTATTAAGTAGGTTTAGAATGGAAGAACAGCATCAGCTGAATTCTCGCCTTTGTATAATAGTATATTATGTATCAAGTTTGATAAACGCCATTTTATACACGAATTTAATTTAATAATTTAAATTAATGAGTATATAGAAAAGTTTATAAACGAGGTGCATACTATATTTTTTCTACGACAAAATTTGTATTTAATACTTATTACTATCTTAAAATGATTTAATTCAAAAATTTGTATAGAGCGCCATCTATGGAACAATAGGGGAATCTGTGTGTCACCGTCAAATGTAAAATTTTTATATTTTATAAACACAGATTATAAAGGTTATAAATCGAAATGTATTTCTTGAAAATTGACAGTTTTTCACAGTGAAAGTAAAGAAAATGTTTTATGAGCACTTTGCAGTGGAGTACGTGCCCGAATTTAAGTTATAGTTTACTGCCGGCGAAATTAAAAGTTCAGTACAATGTTCATATAAACTTTTCAAATATTGGCGTTGAGAAACTATTTAATACTTTTGTATTTTTGTATTGAGATAATAAAATAATTTCCACATTTAGTATTATTTTACAAGAAAGGCACTTTATATTAATGATTGTATAACATTTGACAACTGTCAACTAACTTAAAACCAACTTTAGCCCGTGACTAAATCGCCATAAAATGTCGTCAAAAGTTATAAAAGTAGAACAGTTTTTGAGATAAAGTCAATTTTCCATATAATATGGAATTGACTATATCTCAAAAAATGCTGTACTTGATGTTATTTTCGGATTCAAGGTACAATTTTACTTAAGAATTGGCTGTTGGGGATAGTATGGTATCCCATGGCTTACCATGGTATAAGTGAAAAAGCAGCCACTAATAACTGTAGTAACTAGTCATTTTTGACTAATTCATTTATAGAGAGTAAAACCCACAAAGTGGCCTTGTGATATCAATAGAAACAAACTTTATTCAAACTATAATCTACCTCTTTTTAAATCCGTTCTTTAATTTTATTTCTTTCCTATTTTTCCTAAAGTTCCCTTTCTTAACCAAATTTGCTTTTTTGATGGAAGAATATTGTATTGGGATTTCGTTCTTAATTATAAGCAACAGTGCTTTAAGTTAACTATAAAAAATTCTTAAATATAAGTTATAAGGTATCTTTTTTTTACACAGAAACATCCACTTTGTTGATGTTCTGAACTAATTACAAGCTGAGGTCATAATCATACCGCGTGAGGCTATTTCTAAAGAAAATAATGATTATATGCAAATAGTTTATTATTATTTGTTTTTAATAAGGTAAACTGCGATGCTTAAAAAAGTAATAATTAGTTATTTTAGTATAAAACCTTTGCCCGGATTTTTGGGTAGTTTTACAAAATGAAAACGATTGAATGGTTATTACTCCACAAATAATGCAAAGCAACCTGTGTCTTATTTCTTAGTTATTTCGTATGCAATTTTGTTTAATCAGTGGCGCATTATAGAATATTTTTAACTTTCATGTATTTCTGGTTTTACACTTATTTTGCAAAAAGCATATTATTTCTGTATTAATTTACATATGCTTCGTCAGAGAATAAACACAAAATTTTTGATCAATTTAAAAATAGATCATTTTTATAAAACTAAACAAATTTGTTTTAACAAATAGGTACTTACTTAGATAGAAAACAATGTACTAAGTAAAGCTGTTGTCTTAAAAACCATTGGCTATCTACTTAGAGAAGTAACTGTTATAGTACGTAGTTAATGGTAATTGCTAATTAGAAAATTTGCATTTCATTAATAAACATATAAGACAAGGTGGTTAAATAGAAGGATTGTTTAGTAGGTATATTTTAAAAATGTTAACATTCTAATTAATTAATTTTCTACACAAATTCTTTGTTCTTTTTGCATAAAATTCATCAATTGTTTTGTCTGAATATTTTGAAATAATTAGATTGCAAACAAAGCTAGGATTTGTGAGAATTTATTGTTTTTTACAAGTTCCTCGGTATTTTTGTTGAACTAATTAATAGCTACCGATTTATACATATCTCTGGCTGGAAACCCATAATAAAGGACATTCTTAGGAGTGAATAAAATGGGAGAATCGAGTTGTGAGTCCAATTAGTTGAATTGATATTCTTTGTTTGAAAAAAATTCCAACCGAACCACTCATTCATTTTAGAAGTGATGGTAGTAAATCCAGAAGCGCAGACAAGACACACTTTTCTTCTTTCATTCACTCACTCTGAATTTCAGTCCCTTTTCGAATTATGCAAATTCAAAAAGTTTTTATAGGTTACGTAACGGAAATAATGAGGAATACATTCCGTCTATTGGTTCATTAAAATTCTTATGATTATTTGGCTTCTATGTTTCAGAAATCACAAAATATTATACGGTGCCTCGAAATTAATTGGTTTTATAAATTCACCAGCTTTGATGTCAAACATTCTTCCACTTTTAATTAGCTAGGAGAATCGACAGGTGACGCATGCAAATATACAAAAAATGATACAATTTATGTTCCATGTTTAAAAACATTTTTTTACATGAAGAACCCTTTTCAATTCCAATTTACGTATTTATATCAAATATATTATAATTTATATATTTCGTAAAAGTTTGTTATTATAAAAGCCATAAAATAATAATTACTGGGAAAGTGCATATGTTTTTAGGAAAATAAGTTACCCTTGTTACAAAGTTTGATACTAAACAGTAGGTGTAAACCCTGTCAAAATATTATGATAATATCACTCATCACTCAATTATTGTTTGTAAACATACTTATATGAAGCTCATAATACTGCAAAACACCAAACAAAAATGCCCATTTTAAGCGATGTTATCTTTGAATCCTTAACAAGAAGTCAGTTTAAGGTGGCACTAATTGTCCACCCTTGCACTAAACCAACAAAACGTTTAAGAACACCCCACGCTATATTTTGACAATAATATCGCCGTTAAAAATCTTTACCTGTTTACACGCGCACAGGACTCGTTGGATTTGTAGATATGAATTGTTATGAGAGTACGTGGATGGACAGGTCCTGCGGCACCAAAACCGATTGATTTTCCGATAGCGTTTGTCAGCATTAAAAATAACTTATCCGTACTTGTCTCAACATCGAGCACACAATTAGTGATGAACTCAGACAACCGAAGATTTTCTTTTTGATAGACATGCAAACTTTTTAAAGGCTCAAGCAATGCTAATTACGATATTTTAGTCTGGTCTAAGACCAGAGAGAAACTTCGCTTACATTATTATTACATTATAAACCAAGAATCATAAGATTTACTAATGGCCACTTGCACCGTAAGTTTAACAGTGGTTTAATTTTTAACACAGGTTTATTTTTCATAACTGGCTTGCACCGTAAATTAATCCTTGTTTAAATATCTCTTAACTACTGTTAAAATAAACCCCCCATTTGGGGGGTTTAAATTACTTTAATCCATCATTCAAGATCTTTTTTCCAAAGATATTATTTATTGATATCTTTAGCAAATCCAATAACTATAGTTATAGGTATAGAGGTCAGCAACTCTATAATGACTCACTACTAAGAACCAGAAATATAATAGATCAAAATCAATTAATACAAGATTATTTTGGTAATTTTTAAAATTTAATTTGAATAATATTTTTGATGTTAATTTATACTTATTTAAAATTAAAATAAAATAAATAGTCACTTTTTGTTTATTATTATAATAATTATACAGGGTGTTATGTAATTAATGTTATATATTAAAATGGGTTGTTCCTTAGGGTCCATAAAGAAGCACCTGAAACTTTTTTTTTCTAAATTCCAAAGTCTAAAAATAATTTATAATAACCTTTATCCTACCAAAAAGTACGCCACTGATCGACTAGGAACTTTAGGTTAATCTGGTGGATTTATTATGTTATGGTTGGTAACACTGTGTTTCCAAAATCTCTCAAAAAAGTTGACAAACATTGTTTAAATTTAGCTTAATTACAAAAATTACAAAATTATCAATGCAAATTGTCAATTTGGCGTTTTTATTAATTGTTGGTTATTTCATTTTTGTACTGAAGGTAAATTCAAACAAAATCTGCCAACTTTTATGACAAAATCTAGTGCATTTCTTTTAAATTATAGGTTATGTTTTCAAATTGTAAATATCTTAACTAAGGAAAGTGCTTTTGGATTTATTTACACAAATTAAATGTTTAAAGTTTAACCTGTGAACTGGTCCCAATTTCATCTGAGTAAACAGAGAAAAAAACTGATGAAAAAATTAATTTTGTGGTTATGGATTTCAAATTTCAAAGGTACTAAATTTTCTAATCATTGCTTAAGCTAATAGCTGGATCAGTAAATAAATACAGAAGGGTATTAGAGCTTTAAGGGCATAAAACTTTTGTATTTATTGAGTTTTTATTTATTTTTTGCAAGAAACATTTTTAGTAACAATTATTTACATCTGGCAACGCATAGCTACTTTGTTGGTTGGTATCTATGTACTCACAAAATACAGGTGTGCAGAGATAAACAAGTGTGTAACCAGTGGCGTATCACAAAAAATATAAAAAACTTCTAATGCATATTTTTTCTTTATCTTTGGAAAAATGCTTTTTAAAATATTTTTCCTTTATTCCTTATGTCAAAAGGTATTCAGTATTTTAATATATAACATTAATTACATAACACCCTGTATTATAATTTATTATTAAATTTTTCTTTTTCTTCTAAAATTTTTAAATCTGAAAGAGTCATTTCTTTTACATCCTTTTTATTGTTAATTTCCTGCTCTAATTGTTTTAGCCCTATCTGTCTCTTTGTTTTCAATGATACCCTTGTATCCACAGGATTAATAAAATGATTTTTTTTATTTTCTGAAAAATTTGAGGATTTGTATCCATATTATTCTCACTTACCATCAACTGAATCGGTCGTACATGAAATAGAATCGAACCACAGATTATAAAGAATCGAACTCTTAACGTCAAAATATATTTGCGTCACAAATAAGTGTGAAGTTAGTTATTAGCACCAATCTTTTCCATTTTAGGGTCAAATTCCCTAGATCACTAGTTAAATTTTAAACCATAGTGAAAAAATCGCGGTGCAAGATTTTGTACACTAATCTACTGTTACCATTTAACTGGGCAGTTTATTTAACTGATGAGTTAGAGAAAACGGTGCAAGTGGCCATAAGCGATCTAATTCATATTAGTTCGGAATTTATTTTTCATATTTATTCAAAAAGTAGATGTCCACATTCATTGGCAAAATCAATTTCTAAATTTTACATTTAATTAAAAAACACCAAATTGGCCTCTATTTCTTTCTAAAAACGATTTTTTTGAGTGGTAATATCTTGAAATTAAAGAGTTGGGCTACAATAATATAATAAACACAATTAATATGTAACTGGTTTATACTTATTTCTATAAATATTCTTTAATTGTCAATGCACGTTTTTCACAACTGACCATGCCCAGAAAAGCACCTGTCTCCGTTTTAAATTTATCCTTCGTTTTTATCTATAAGGAATTTGTTTTAATTTTATTTTCAAACATGGCAGGAGGATTGATAAATCGACATAAATCAATACAGAACATAAATGTTATACCGGTTTTTCGATCGGAAAAATAAGAGCGACTCCGTAACATAACTTTATTCAGTAGGCTGAGACTTGACATACCGTCGATCTAGAATGCCAAGCAACTGAATACGGAGCGTTGTTGCTGCTTTTTTACTTTCATTCATTCTTTTGTTTTATAAGAATTAATTGGTTTCATATTTTCTATAACAAAATGATACCAAGTGATACAGTGCTGTAATTTACAGTCGCTGCTATCGCATTCTTCAAATACTTCCAGACTATTTAGAACGTTATTATTATTACTTATTTTGTTACTTACACCACAAAAGTCATTAATAGTAAATTCTACGACATTTTTTTCCAACAAAGCGCTTTATGAAAGCTGTTATTTTTTTTTGTAAATAATGAGGTTCTTTCATAGAAATACGTTTTTAGTTTAACGAAATAAATCTTCTACTAACAATATTTCCATTAAAGAGTAAATATTTTATAGCAATTATTTGAGTTATAATAACGCCAAAATTCAATGCATTTGTATATGTCATTAAAAAGAACAAAATTTGTGGATGTGTAAACATTAAATGATAAAAAACAAAATCATTCTAAAAAAATTAATAATGGTGTGTATTTTGTTGTTTCAGGATGTTTGCAGTGACGAGATGCGGCAGATGTCACGCAGGAATATCAGCGAACGAATTAGTGATGCGAGCGCGTGAATCCGTCTACCACCTGCACTGTTTTTCCTGCACCTCCTGCGGAATACCATTATCCAAAGGAGACCATTTCGGCATGCGGGAGGGCTCCATTTATTGCAGGTAATTTATGTTCAAAACTCGTGTCCACACTCAAAACAAAACGTTATGGCAATATTAATAGTTCTGTTAAAAGTCGATTCTTGTAGAATAAATCTAATATATTAGTGTGGTCAATAAAATTTCAAAAGATTAACAAACCATTGTGTAATTCAATAGATATTGCATTTGCTCCAGACCGCACTATGAGCTTCTGGATATGTGCGATTCCAATGATCCCATGGACATCATGTACAGAGGCAGCGAATCTCCTGGGTTTTATCCCAACACGCCTCCGCAGCAGCATAAAGGACGACCACGAAAAAGGAAGATACAGCCAGAGGATAACTCGCCTTGCGGGGAGATGCCCGTCACTATGAGAATGGCCGCTGCTACTCTAGGTAAGTCACTTTTATGATACCTAATTTATATCAATATTTTTGGAATTTATGCCATATTTAACTTAAAAATAAAGGAAATAGGTACAGTGGCCGACACGGAATTTTAAACGGCTTTCGTCCAGTTAATATTAAAATCTCAACTTCCTTTATGGCCAACTAACCTTACTTCCGGTTATCACTAGTCTTGTCGTTTTGACAGCGAAAGCAAAAATGGGCAATATTGTTTCTTTGCTATTTACAAATAATACATGGACAACCAAATTATAAAGTTCAAAATTCTGTGTCCGCCACTGTACTTGCAAAAAACTAAAAATATATATTTTGCGTTAATTCTGACATTAATCCAGTTCATAAATTTATACCAAGTTTGCGTTAAATAATCATTAAACTTCAATGATTAAATAATTATTAATGTTGAATAAGTAATTATAATTTTGGATATTTATTAATTTTCAAGTTTCTTTAGGTATGCTGATAAATTATAAATATAAATTTCAATTTTAATTATAACCATTCTGATTACTATCCAACAATTTCTTAAACCTTTGGCTATTTGACATTAAAAATTATAAAAACTAATGAATTGAGAATATTTTATCAACAAAATCATTATATAAATTTCAAATACAAAAAGCGTTGTTGCACTGATCTGTAAAAATAAAGAAATTCCGATAAAGTTAAAACTTTTTTCGATTTCCTTTGTGTTGTTTGGAACAGATTTGTCCCATTTTTAATTAGTTATTGGTAACAAGCCGATAGTGGAGCAATAAAAATGGAGTGGTCTTAATTATTCAGGTCGCATCCTATCGGGGACTTTTATCTGAAAATGTTTTTTTATGGAAACGTTGTTATCAGAATAAAGGATTGTCCGTTCGTTGAATGATTTGTAGCAGTGTGATGTCGGCATGGAGCAGAGTTCGATAGATGACGATAGGTCTCTGAAAGAATGCACATTTTTAAGCAGCCATAGCCGTTGGTCCAATTGGCTACCGAATTCTAGTTATCCAATCCTCGATCTCGAGGATACTTTTCAACTGTCAGCGCGTTCTGTTTCGGCCACCCACCGTTCAAGCAAACCTATAAATAACGCGTCGATACCGATTCGATACTTACCGTTGTCTGTGCTTGGTCCTTCTTGCTGTTGCTGCTGCTGTTGTTTCTCTTTTGCTTGCTTTCCACGGTCCAACTCGTTTTCAGGAATAAAATAAAACTATTCGCTCTGTGCTCTTTCGCATTTTAGTCGTCTCACAGACCACTTCTCTCCAACAGTTACCTACTGCTAGCGCTACAGATTTATTCCGAATTTTTACTCAGTAGCGCACACAAAGAACCTATTAAATCATTTTATCTATAGCCTTACCAAATACCCTATATTTTTCTACTTTTTTACTTTTGTAGATAGGTATAATTAAAATGTGTTATGTAAAAGGGAACCAACTCTAATCAAAAATAGCGTCCAAAAATTGTGGTTCATTTCGTAATTTCGTACTAAACTTTTGATTTCTCACAATATTGTTCTCTTTATTTCTGATTTCTGATGGTTCAAGGAACTTTCTTGTTGAATAAATGAAACTGGTAATTATTGCTATAGGAAGTTGGCGCAACCATGCAGTTTGGAGGTATTTGTAGAGTTCTGTATTACTTTAAATATTTTAATTAAGTATATTTAATTGAATAAAAATATATCAAAAGGTGGTGCCACCATTTAATTAATAGATTAATATAATTATATCGTTTATTTCATTTTGCACCGAAAAAAATAATGTAGTTGAGTTAACGTTTGCCTAAATGTCATTTTTGAAAATGCTGTTTCAACAAAAAACCTATTGGATTAATCTATATTTTGGTTTCAAAGCAATAGTCAGAGTTTGTCAAAGTTTATTTGTTCATTTGACATAGACTAATTTTTTGAAACAAAATGTTTATCCTATTTTGATTTAATAGCTGGATTTGGTTGAATCAAATACTGAAATTTTTAGGATTACCTAAAATGCAAAACATTAAATTTGTTCGTTTAACAAATTGTAAATGTTACTGTAAAAATGTTAAATTTGCATTCATAAAATGGCCGTGAAGGGCGCTTCGAACACCCACGCCACGTCATTAGACGGTGTTGATCACGTGTTCTTACATCTCGCCACAGTTGGCTTACGATATAAGGTATATAAGCTCAGGTAGCCGTTTGTTTTGGGTGTGTTCCACAGTGAAACTTCCACTACACCAAATTGCCCGACACTGATAAGACCCCCAATATAGGTCGAAACAGCTGTCTGTCGGTATTTATAGTAGGTGGAACGCACTCAAAACAAAAACTTTGGCGAGGTGAGGGTTCAATTCTTTCTCTTTATATTAATTCCATAATTTAATTAACCCAACATTAGCGTAAATTATTTTAATTTAACATTTTATTGGTGTTAAGTGAATATGCTAAAAAGGTTAATTAACCAGATTAGCAGATTAGAACAAATATTCTCATTTTTTTTATTTGACTAATATTTGTTGTTCAATTAAACAATAAATTTTGACATTTTTCGATGGTTAAGTAAACGTGCAAAAACCATTGCTTGTATTTAAAGTGCATAAAGAGTTGAAATAATATTTTTTTGTTGTTTCAACAGCTTATTTTTTTCAGTGAGAGGGTTGCATTTGTCGGTATTTGCTTAATTATTTATAGTATAAAATTTAAACATAGGGCCCATTTAAAATGAGAATTGACAGATTTTAGTTAAAACAAAATAATAAATCCAATACTGATATTTAATTTTGTTATCGCTTCTTATTTGAGTATATTATTCTTAATACTATACTATAATTTTATTATTATTATTTTATCATATTTTTCTAAAGAAAATTATCTCTGATAATAATTGGGAATTTAAATTATTTAGTACAAAAACATTCAAACTCTTATTTTTAAAACCCCATTTATGGGACAAAATACTGAACATACTAAGAAAAAATTCTAAGACGCATTATAAAGAAACAAATACTTTTTAGTTTTGTTAAATTAAACACGCAATGTTAAGCTTGTAATTTCAAAATCACAGCATCCAATAAGGAAACTTGTATAAACATGTTTGTTACTTTTGATCCCGTATAATTTGTCCTAAGAAAACAATATAAATCTTTGTATAGATCAAAAGTTTATTTAAAAAAATTCAATAACATCCCATCTAATTAATATGATTTTAGTGCTTTACTTTGTCTCAAACCGAAAGCGAAGAAAAACAACCATAATAATTAAGCTTAATCTAAATTCTCAACTAATCGTTTCCATTAAATATTGAAAAAACTGCACCATCTGTAAAATGCCCACTATTTTTAAGCCAATGATTGAGAACTAAGCAAAAACTAGACCTCGGTCTCGCATGGAACCGGTAGTTGCGGAAATCAGTTGCAGCTGTATATTATGAATTTGACAGTGAAGACGTGATGTCGGTCTGGATTCAACTGACTACTGCTCATATTGATTGATTTACTGAACATGGTTTACGCCTGGACCCTATTATTTTGTCGCCATATTTTGTTTGATATTTTCTTATACTTTTGACCAATTAACTTGCCGATCATTTTGTTTCGTTTTTTATTTCGATTAACTAAAAAATGCATTGAAGATATTAGGATAAAAAGGGTTAAAAACATGATACAATTAAGGGAAGGTTTTGCTTATCTTTAATCAACAGATGTGTGTCGGCGTATTTTTGTAATCTATAAAATTTCCGGAATTTAGGAAAAACCATTTAAACCATAGATACCTTAATTAGAAAAAAGCCGCAGCTTTTTTTTAATTAAAAACTATTTACGTAGGGCCATTTGGCTACCTAAGTTGACCATTTACACCTGCAACTAAATAGATTTTCTTTTATTTTAGGCTGAATTGAAACATTTGTACCAGGTGCCCATTTATTTTAAGGTCCTTTATCTTCTTTCATCTAAAATGACATAACTTTATATCCGGTGAAAGAGCTATTATGCCTTGTTATTTTTTTGTGCTGGTTTCTTGTCTTGGTTCATTCATGACTTTTAGTTGGGCTTATTAAATTCGAGATAGCATCGGTGGTACGTAAAATTACCACTGAAATAGTTTTGTAATTTTTATAATTTGGACAAGCACAACTTTAGAAAGCGGAATAATTTCAACGGGAGGCGACTACGTGTCAACTTTAAAACTGCTCTAATTATCCTAAACAAGTCTGGCCAACATTGCAATTTTATGTAGGCCGTCGCTTAAGCAAACCTTAACGAATATTTTCATTTAAAGAATCCAATACTTTTTATGAAAAACATAAAATGTAAAGAATGGGTTTTTGTGATTAATATTAATAATTTGTTACGAACACGCTTATTTCTTTCTTGCAGTGATTTTAAAATTACAATAATTATGTTTTTTAATGTGTTTTCTTTAAATATGTGTAATTTTTTTCATAAAATATTTTAAAAAGAAGGTTGGAATTAAGAACTTTACAATTTTTTTAGCATATGATTTTTGGTACCCAAATTTATTTACTAAATTGTGTATTCAGGCAAATGTATCTCTATAGCACTGGGGAACAAAATATTATTTTATGTCTGTTTTCTGCACCAAATAGCTGAATATAAACTCAACTAATTTTGGGTTGAGAAAAACGAATATGGCAATAAAAGTGTATTATTAGCTCGGGTTCTCAAGATACAGCCTTGATACCTTGATCAAGATAGTCTCAATATAAGGTTGTAGATTCTCTTAAAATGAATTAGTCAAAAATATATTTCTAAACTTAAAAATTTACAAACAGTGTAATTAGTCAAATTCTACTGAATAAAATAGTCAAATTAGTAAATTTAAATTTAAAAAAGTTTTGACCCAGCGGGGGATTGAACTCAGGTCAGTCGCTTGTCAAGCCCAGAGCTTGTCAAGCAGTTGTCATAACCAATGTGGCTATCAATCAGTCTTATAAATATCAATTTTATTTGTCAATAAATTTTGTTCATAATATTTTAAAGTTGAATATAATATTTGTGTTGCTGTTTTGAGCTAAACTTTTTGCATCTTTTTTGTTTTTAAGATTTTATTTAACCATGCAGCATTTAATTCAAATAATACTTTGTTGTTGGCCGCAAAAGATTAAAGAAATTAGTTACTTTTAACTCTCAGAAAAAGTCAAAGATGCATCTTCACCATGGTGACTAGTCTTAAATTAGTCAAACTTTAACTATTTACGTAGTAAAAAATAACTATTTAAAAGTGAAAACACAGAATCACAAGCTGATATAATTTGCTACAAGATTATTTCTATTAAATTTTTAGATATCTCGCATATATTCCGAGATATAAGCAACAAAATTGACCTTCTCTTGATTTCGTGGTTTTTATTTGGTTTCTTTTTGTTGGCTATTACTATAGTATATGTTATTATTATTTATCGTTATTTTGTTATTTTTGTCGAGTTTTTGAAAAAAGCGATGTTTAGTATTATACTAGACATCCCTGTCAATGTTTTCGTTCAGTTTTCGACAATCATATATGCAAAATGCGTATATATCTCAAAGACTACAGCTAAACAAACTTTTTGTGGTGATTTTTGGGTTCATTGCGTCGAAATACTACAAAATTGGCTATTTTTGAACCCGAATCCTTTCATTGTTCCCCAGTGTAATCAGTTGCTCTTATAAATGAACCTTAAAATTTATCATCTTCAAAATAATTTAAAAATTAGGAAATGTATTGATTTATGATTAATCTGCATACGATTTTAGCAGCAATATGGACTAATTTTGTAATAAAACGAATTCAAAGTGAATGCAAATAGTGAGTAAGACCGCGTATAGGTGTGTATTAATTATGTCTATTCAGAGCTGCGTGCGCTGCAGCGCACGCAGCTCTGAATAGACATAGCGCGCTGTAGTGAAGTGCACTTTAGTCAGCGTTTGGTTTGAGTGTCTCATGGCACCGTAGAGTTGAGTTCGCTAACAACCCCCTGGGACGTGCTCGAGAGCAAAAATACACTATTAGACTACGCGGCCTCACGTCAATCAGACCCTTATTCATGTAGGCTGAATTGACGTGAACTACTGTAAATATTTTCGCAAATATAAATATATAGTTTGAAAATGCGCCACCCATCAAATTATCAATTTATTAAATTTTACAAACTTAAAAAAAAACAAGAAACTGTTTTCGTGACTTATTTTTAAGTTACTATAAAACAACAACAAATTCTTCATTATCATCGACAAAAGTCAATTAAACTAACTGTATCTGCAAGACCTATTCTTGCAATAATTATCTCCAGTTTTTCCAATTACCTCATAAAAAAATGTAAAAAAATAACGCAACGCTTTCCTCCAGATAAAAATAAAGAATAATAACCATTTAAAATCGTACATTGTTAAGTACTTTAAAACTCTTAAGTTTCACAAATTTCTAGTGCCATTGAGATGGTACGCCCATGAGCATTGATATATTATTTGGTCAATAAAATACTAAAGCATTTCGCTACCTTGCAAAGAGAAACGAAACGCGTCTTTGTTAGCTGTTCAAAATCCATATTGGTAAACAATGCAATGTGCATTGTATGCACATTTTTAGTAACGAGCAAATATAATAAATTTTTGGTATGTATTACAGGCATTGTTTGACTTCTAATTCACCCCGTAAACAGCTCAGCTAGAGGGTGGCTTTAAATGTTTTGTATTGCGCCCCTCATCATCAACATAACGCATACTGTTTAGATTTTAAACATTTAAATGTGTTTCTTTTAAAAAGTACATTATTTGGACAGTAACATTTATAATTTTCAGATTTTATATATTTTACGAACAAAGAGGACACTACATAGAGAAAATAAAACAGTTATCATTAATACGCAGAACCATTTTAATTTAACAATGTCAACGTCAATGTAGGTACTATTTGAAATCATACAATTTCTAATAAAACCTCACGGGTAACTGATAATAGCAATGGTTATTATTGTAATATCAATGAGAAGTGCCAGGAACTATAGTATAGTATAGTATAGACGAAAAATAATGCAGGTTTGCGTCTCTAACCGTTAGGCAAGAGATGTAAATCATTCGAGTATATATTGCGCATTATATGGAGTGAAATACTATGTATTTTCTACTTATTTGTCAAATGAGAATGTTATTTTATAAATAAACGTCAGTACACCCTTTGATCTTACAATACGATTTTGCAGATTTGTCAAATGACTTCTATAATGATTGTGCCTCATTTGGCAGTCTATAGAACGTTCAGTATCCTTTTTCGATTTACGACCACCACGAAATTTGACAAACCAGTTCCTAATGGTGGAATACGCTGGTATTGCCAGTCATAATGTCTTTGAAGCAACCATTTTGCTTTAAAGTCATTTTTGCCCTATCAAAAAGCAGGGCTAAATAAAGACAAAAAAATTACCTTTCTTTAAATAAAGAAAATCAAAATTTGTTGACAGATTGATTTAAAATTTTGACAGAAATCGTTTGAATCGTTTTTGTAATAATCGTGCCAATAATTGTGGCGCCATCTTTTGGAAATTCCAAGCACTTATCAATATTCCCTAGTAAATAAAACATTATTTAAATAAAAAAATGGGGGAATTAATTTATTATAATTCTATCTATAATATAATTTTGGTTAAACAATTAAAAAATGTAGTATTGTAATATAAAGCAATAAATACGAATACAACATAACATAAAAGTATAAAAACATAAAAAACCGCCGATAATGGTAGCAATAAATAAACAACCAATCTTTCGTAATTATCGATATAATTGGTACAATTATTTTTTATACTTCTTAACACTATAATAAAATCTAAATTGGTATATAATTTTCCTCGACACTTTTCTCAAGGTTTATTTTTTCTATTTTCAGAAATGCTTCAAGGCGAGCTCTCATCCTCAATGGAATCCTTGTCATACGATTCTTCAGTTACTTCTCCAGCCTCCAGCAATGGACACGGACATTCGCAAAGGACAAAAAGAATGAGGACGTCCTTTAAACACCACCAATTAAGAACCATGAAGACGTACTTTGCTATCAACCAGAACCCTGATGCAAAGGATTTGAAACAGCTTGCGCAGAAAACTGGGCTCTCCAAAAGAGTTTTGCAGGTAAAAACCTTACCTAATTTATAAAATGCAATTAGAACATATCTGTATTAAAAACATATTTTTAATGTTGTTTATTTTCTTTAGGTTTGGTTTCAAAATGCTAGAGCAAAGTGGCGAAGAAACATAATGAGACAAGAAGGCTCCCAAAACAACAATAACCAAACTCCGGGACCACACGTTTCTCCCACCGGAGGTTCAACAATTATGGACACCAATAGTTTATCTCACCAATCCTTAGACGATTTGCATCATCACCTACATTCCCAAAACTCCCAAACGTTGAATTTCAGTGACCTGTATTAGATTACAGGATATGTTTAGAGTTTTACACACAGAACGTTCCTTTTTCTTAGTGATAATTGTGTAATTTACTTTTATGTACAGTATTCTATTATTCTTCTACTAACTCTTTTTTAGATGTTGACAATAATGACAAAGTAATGATCTAAGTTTTTAAGATTTAAATTGTTGGTTTATTTTATTATCCGAAATTATGGTACTAAACACAAAATAATTATTAGGTGGAGTTAGTAGAATATATAATGTTCAAAATATATTTATATAGAGTAGTTTGCACGTTTTTAATAACGAAAAAATAGATATGGTTGTTTGTATATATTATCTGTGAATATATGTGCAATTTATTTAACACAATACATTTTTACACAATGCATTGTTGTTGTTTTTTAAATAACATATGTAAACCTTATAAAGCCATTTACAGGTATATTTATTAAATTATTAGATTTAGGAAGTAAATGACTTTACTAGATTTATGTATTTCTTATTCTGTTGTATATAGTTTGTAAAATAAATTTTTATCAAAATGTTTTAATATTTTATTTTAAAACTTTCTTCAAAACTGGTCCTCAAATCTATTCAAACTCGCGTAGATGGCGTTTCATAACTTGACACCTGACTTTTTTCTTTGAGTTTACTTAGGTTTACAACGAAAAATCAGTCAATAGTCCACAATTATTAAAATAAATTATTTTGAAATGGCTTCTAGACAAAATTAGCTTTAAACTTGCAGACTGTAAGGGTATAAACCCACCCCGGCAAATAATCTTAATTATATATAACTGACATCCCGACTCAAAATATAAAATATAACAGAACGACAAATGTTATATTTAATTACGACAAATAAATAAAATAAATACTTACTTAAAATAAAGCCTATTTATTTTGTAATCCAGAGTAGGTGTTGTATTCATTGTACCAAAGTTCAACACCTGAAAGGCTCCCGTTTATTTTTTATAATGATCCCTTATAAAACCTTCCAAAATGAGATTTTATGGGAGTAAGTTAAACATATAAAATACCTAAAATTTATTAACAAAAAATAATGTAATTTGTTGGATCAAGCAACAACAGTTAACATACCCTAAAATTTAGGACCTAAACGACATTTAATCTATTACCTAAAAGAAAACTCCAAAAGAAAGGGAGATTCTACAAACCCTTAAACCATACACAAAAATCTATATACTGCGACCACAACTCATATATAAAATAAATAAATAAAATTACATCATACCCAAAGATCAGGTGGAACCTTAACGCCTCTACAAGTATCTCAGGTGCGAGCTTTGCTCCTTCTCTGAAGTTTGTTTGTTTTGTAAAAGTAGATTGAGGCTTAGTCTCAATTTGTGTATTTTAAAGGTAATTTTCTCACTCAAGAATTTTATATCCATCATCCATACAGTTTGTATAATTATTAAATGTTGAATTTAAGTATACTGTTACATGATTATGTATTATTTATTAGAGTTCAAATTCAATCGACTGTTAAAAAGGAGTACATAATAATGGGCTTTGAAATCATTCCATATTATTTTGCCTCATTTATTGTCAAGCTTTAATAAACTAATAATTATCGTAGAATAATAAATAATAATAAAACAAATAACAAAGACAATGTCTGCATAGCGCATGAAAATAAAACAAGACCTCTATTCTCTAAAAATGAATTAGTCAAAAATTACTAATTGTCATAGCGAAAGCAGCCACTAATGATTCTCGTCAATATCAATTTGTATCCCGAATATTTAGCAGTCAATTTATATGTAAACTTGTCCCCTGGATTCCAAAATATAACTATAAATAGAACAGTTTGAGTTATAGTCAACTTTTCATATAATATGGAATTGACTATATCTCAAAAACTGCTTTGCTTTCATGCTTTATTTTCGGATTCAGGGGACAATTTTACATAAGAATTCGGTGTTAAATGTTGGGGATACCTTGGTATCCCATGGTTACCCATGGTATAAGTGAAAAAACAGCCACTAGTAACTGTAGTTTTGACTAATCCATTTTACGCACTTCTTAAAATTTACAGGAATAGTATTTTTCTTGTAGAAGGAGACCGTCATAAATTAAATGTGGATGAGTAACAACAGGCTACTCCAGTTTATGGCATTAATATCATCAGGCAATGGCGGCTTTGGTTTATTCATGTCTCTAGCAATATTATATAGTAGGGGAAAGGGCCCTAAGATGACGAACTTAAGGATTTTTGAGCCGTAAAGTTGTTATTCATGAAAAAGAGGGTATGCATTGTATTTAAGCTTTGATTTAGAACATATTTAAAGCGACTGATAAGAAAATATTTATTGAAAAAGAAGTATTAAAACAAAATTAATTAAAAAATAAAAAAAAACAACCAATTCGTCATCTTACCACCCACTGCTGATAAGTTGACGAATTGCTGTGGGTAAGTTGACTAATAGTTAATTTATTAAAAAAATCCTAAGGCCAAAGTTTAAAAATGTATTTATTAAGAATAATATACTAAAATAAACAAAACATTAATGTAATACGCTAATTAGCTTTACAAAAGAAACTACATCTAAACCTACCAAGGTAATTAACAGTTCGTCATCTTAGCTACATTGTTGTTCGTCAAGTTACCTCCAAACGACATTCCTAAAGTTTGGGTAAATATTTTTTAAATGGCATGCAAATCAGTAATGTTTGACCACTGCACATTTAGAAAACCCTTTTCCAAAAACCCAAGACCACTGAACAAATGTCTAGAACTTACCAATCAAACTGTATTCCTTATTTAAATAACCTTAAAAATTACAGAGCACGTGCGAATATCACTCATCAGCGTCAAATCTCAAACCGCCCCGCTCTTCCGCCAAAAAATGTGAAGCTACCATACTGCACAAGTCAATAGGGATGTTGCGTCGCGATTTCAAGATTTTAAAACGTTTGCTATAGTAGGAATCTGCAATTCGTCATCTTACCGACTTCGTCATCTTAGGGCCCTTTCCCCTACAGCTGCAGCTGTAATAATGGAAAAAACTATCTAGTTTTAATATTAAGCCATAGGTATGCCAACACTGGAAACCTTATTTTCGAAATTCCAAATACTCTTTCTATTATATTTCTGGTTCTTAGTAGTGACTCATTATAGAGTTGCTGACCTCTATACCTATAAGTTATAGGCTATAACTATAGCTATTGGATTTGCTAAAGTGGTCAATAAATAATATATATATATATATATAAAAAATGATCTTGAATACCGATGACAAGTACTTTTGAGGTTATAAATCGTTAACGGTAGATTAAAACAATTTTTCCACTACCTTACTAAAAAACTTCATTTTCCAATTTTACATTAACAAGAGTTTTTGTACCTTGTCTAGCCCTGTTTGATTTTGTAGGAAAAGGGTTTACTCCGCGCTTGTCCAACCATTCTTTTAACAAACTATAGGTATTCATTTTCATATCGCTCTTTTGATTTTTAAGGAAATTAATTGCAACTATTCTTGCCTTTTTTGCAAGATCTTGCGGCAGGTCTTCTTCGCTAGAACTCATTTTCAAAACGTAGGAAGAATTTTAAATTTATGATAAACATCCTGACATCTTATAAAAACTGTTGTTTGTATTACCAAAAATACCGGAACGCTTAAAATGTCTTAAAAGCGTTAAAAGGTAATAGAAAAAACTATATACATACCTCAGAAGAAAAATGCGTTTTCTCCCTTGAATATTTAATGCCCTTCGCTTCGCGTCGGGCATCAAACTATTCGCGGGAGCAAAAGCACTATTTTCCTCCCATGGTATGTAAATAGCTATTAATCCCCCGAAATTGAAGGTTTATTTTAATTCTAGTTTAGAGGTATTTAAACAAGGATTAATTTACGGTGCAAGCCAGTTATGAAAAATAAACCACTGTTAAACTTACGGTGCAAGTGGCCATAAGGGACATAAATGTGAATCTGTGAGTTCAAAAATCCCATATTCAAGTAAATCGATATCAAGTACATTAATTTTACGCGGCGTTTATGGAAAATTCCACTTAAGAATTATTTACTAAAATAATTAGAAAAAATCAAGTACAACCCTGAAATTTAGTAACTTTTAGATTCATAATGTTTATTATTTAAAATTTAGCTTAATGCCAGATCGTTTAAACGTAGATTTATATAATTTTGATTATAAACGGCAACCAGCATAGACGTCAAGACAATTTATCGAATATTTCTACAAGGCATTTGTTGAAACCAAATATACTAAATTGTTCGGGACTATTTATACTACAATAATTTAGTTATTAAAATGTACATGCAAATTTACCCACATTTTCGATTGCACAAACTTTACACCTGTTGTTCGTGTTTACCGGTTTCTCCCTCCTCTTCCTATCTTGACATTCTACGTCAACCGTGGTCAACCTTAAAATGCTTAGGTTCCCTGTTTTGCTTAGATTTAAATGCTAATTTCTTTTAATGTTTTTTTAAATTTGAATAAATTTTTAAACAATAATTGTTATGACCCACATATTTTATATTATAGGGGAGTATTTGTAGATCTCCTCAATACATAATCCTAATTACTTGTATTTAAATACCAAGGGGACTTTTGGGTGTGGAGCATAGTACTATAAAATTGCTTTTTAACTCATTCACCTACAATCAGTACCTAGTTTACCTATTCAAATTAAAAAATCATACAAAGGAGACTTTGTGGTTATATAACTTTTTAACTATTCTGATAAGTACCTACAACAAATTTGTAGAAAACAATTTTATAAAACATTGAATGTACTATAAGATTGCTATTTAACTATCATCAATAGTTTAGTTTAAAAATGTAAAAAACGTATCTTTTAGTAAGTAAAATATATAAACAATAGAACATGACTCCATGATATTTTTTTTGAAAATTTAAGGCAGGGAGAAAAAACGAAAAATATTTTCCAGTGTTATTCCTATGGGGAACTCAATAATGCTCCTCTTAAAATTGAAATCAAGGGTTGGAATTTGGATGGTATTTTTATTTCGACGTTTTCTATGAAATTTTTATGTCAAAGCCTTTTTTGTGAAATATATTTTTAAATTTTATTGACTTTGGTTCTTTTTATTTTGCCAACATAATAAAATTAAAACTGATTATGTAAAAAAAATCTGTCATCTTTGAGTTTAATAAAACATCATTTAAAATGTCTGAGTCGGAACTCCTTATAAATGATAAAGTCCAGACATTCTTAGTAAGTTTTTCGATATTGGAGGGGAGACATTACATATGGGCCAATGCCAATACGTGTGTTATAGTAAAACTTGGAAATAAAAAGAAAAAAACTGCTGTTAAATATGGAACAGATAATCCTTTGTATAACGAGGTAACAAAATAATAGTATATAGAGATAATGCAGGCTATTATTCACAGGGGTGAGATTTGCGTCTCGAGCCGTCAGCCGAGAGACGTAATTCATTCCAATAAATAATGCGCATTATTTCGAGTGCAATACTATGCTTTTCTAGTTCAATTAAGTAATTTTCATTTGCAACAAAATATATTATAAATTAACTTTTCCCCGATTTTAAAGATCATTATAGTCTCCCCTCGTATATATAAACAAATATGACATGTGTTAACCTTACTTTTTCCCAATTTAAAACTTGATTGGTTCAACGTGAATAATGAAATATATTTTTCTACTCCTATTGCATATTATTAAAATTATTTGGGTATTTTCCGAAAATAATGGTAACCAATATAACCGCCCGGCCTAACAACGTGAATAATGAACTCATTATTCACGTTGTTAGGCATCAGTGATTAGCTGATTTCAATATTCACTGTTATTTAAACCAATCGGGTTTAAATTGAGAAAAAGGAAGGTTAACAGATGTCAGATTTATTTATATATATGAGGGGCAACTATAATGATCTTTAAAATCTGGGAAAAGTGAGGTTATCAATAAAAATTACTTAATTGAAGTAGAAAAAGCATAGTATTACACTCGAAATAATGCGCATTATTTACTAGGATGAATTTCGTCTCTCCCCTAAAGGTTCGAGACGCAAACCTCATCCTTGTAAATAATAGCCAGCATCTCTCATATAATAATATACTATTATATATAATATAAACATTATTTCAGTTTATGGTTTTTGAACTACGTACAACATTCAATGTTCTTCTGGATAAACGAATATCTATAACAGTAGCAAATAAAATTAATTATAAAGAAAATATACTATTAAAACATATGATTGTAGGTCTATCAACCAAAAGCTTTGTGCAAGCACCATAAAATTTTAGGAGCCATTGCATTTGATTTGAATTTTGTCTGGGTCCAACCAGGTAATTTATTATAATGTTGCTATAATAATATTCTATTTTACCTCTCTTAAAATGAATTAGTCAAAAATAACTAAGTATAAGTCATATTTGACTAATTGTCATGGCGAAAAAGCAGTCACTAATAATTAGTCAAATTCTACTGAATGAAATAGTCAAATTAGTAGATAAATTTAAAAAAAATTTTGACCCAGCCGGGGATTGAACTCAGGTCTGTCACTTGTCAAGCTTGTCAAGCTGTTGTCATAACCCATTCGGCTGTCAGCCGCTCTTCTACAAATTAATTTTATTTGTCAATAAATACTGTTCATAAAATGTCAAAGTTAAATATATTATTTGTGTTGCTTTTTGAGCTAAACTTTTTGCACCTTTTTTATGGGTCATTTAACCATGGAGCTTAGGTATATGCATTTAATTCAAATAATACTTTGTTGTTGGCCGCAAACGATTACAGAAATTAGTTACTTTTAACTCTCAGAAATAGTCAAAGATGGTGACTAATCTTAAATTAGTCAAACTTTAACTATTTACGTAGTAAAAAATAACTATTTAAAAGTGAAAACGACTATTCTATTAGTAAAAAATGATGGTACTAATTCAAATAGTAGAATTTTGACTATTTAATTTTAAGAGAGTTACTTTACAAATTATGTCCCGAAAGTACCGTCCGGTAAATTGTAAATAAAACGCAAATGGTTGGTTTCATGAGAAAAATCGTATTTGTTTTTATTTTGATATATTTACCAGATGCAAGTAACAATTGTACCAACATAACAATACATTAAAAAAACTCTTATCTACGTGTTTTAATTAACAATTTTCTGGTACTTTTGGGACATATGGTGTTTGATGTGGAATAAGCTAAACTTGACCAAAAAGTTAAGAGTGCTTCGCGCACTTCTACTGGACTCGACTTGATAGCAATTTCCTTTGCTTAACCAAAAATTTACATAACTTGGCTGAAAAGTGTAGTAGGCAGATGATTTCTTGTTCTCTGATTTCAGACTTTAAATTACTTTTTCTCACTCTTCACTTTTTTGGTCATTTCACTTTTTTGGTCATTTCCAAAAATTTACATAACTTGGCTAAAAAGTGTAGTAGGCAGTTGATTTCTTGTTCCCTGATTTCAGACTTTAATTACTTTTTATCACTCTTCACTTTTTTGGTCATTCATTAAATAAATAACTGTATTTCTAGATCACCTATTTTACCATAGATGGGCCGTTTTAAGGTCCACAAAACATGAATCTGTCAGAGTTTTTAGAGGCTATTTAAAGGTGGACATCAGCATTTCATTTAGAGGACAAATTCCTAAGCTTCCAATTAATGTTCAAAATAATGATATTGATGGGTAAAAAACTAAATTAAAATTTATTTAAATATAAAATTTATTTATAAAATAAATCTTTCATAGAAATTTGCTGGTACAGGAAGAAGGAATATTGGAAAGACAAACGGCTCTTTTTATTTTTGATATTTATAAATGTATAAACTTAACATACAAACCAAGCAACAAGATCAATGTTCCCAAGAAAAAGTGTAAAGGTGTTGAGTGCGGTCCGAATAGTTTTATTAGAGTTTATTTTGCAGCTCAAAGTGTAAGAAAATATAACAATATTACAAAATTAAATTTTATAATATTTTAATTAGGTTAAAACACGACATTTTTTTAACAATAAAAACCCAGCCATAAATCAACGATTAATATTAAGAGATACATACCCCACAGTGGCTCAAAGAATTAAACTGGAAGTTCATTATTCCGATGATAGAACACATCTACCTCATGCTTCGTACAATGTAAATTTAAAATACATTTCTAATGCTAGCGAAGATGGTTTTTTACCTTTGTTTGGACCCACATTTGTACACTTGTATACAAAAAAAAATATGCAAGGTTATGCTGGATCTGTTTTGATGGAAATGAAAACCGAAATTAAAGATATAATGTTGGTTGATGCTGCTATGAAACAGCGTGAGATACCCAGAGAACTTTACGAAGTAAATATAAGTTATTGATGGGTCAAGTGCAAGAACCAGCTGGCATCTCAAAAACCATGAAATTGTACAGAAGGTAAGAAAAACGCTGCGTTAACCTAAGGGTTTGAAAAAAATTTCACTCAGCAGCTCAGTGAAAATTAAAAAAATATTAATTTATTATAGGAAAGCGGTTTTCTTACTTACTGTTAAATTTTATTATGTGGTTCTTGTACTGAACCCCTCGTTTAGACCTCATAACTAATTTATGATAAATAATTTATTTTATCAAATAGGGTAAGCAATATGATTTATAAAATTCTTGAAGTCTTAATTAAAACACAACAATAAATGTAAGCCTAGTCATTTATTTAAAGATTAAAATTATGTTTTAAATATGAAATCCACTCAATGTCCACCTGTGAAAGTCACAGACTCTAGCTCTCTTAAACACAAGCATATTTTCCATTACCTCTTGATATCAAGGGGTATGTTTTAAATAGCATTTCCTTTGATACTGATGTTTGGTTTGCTAAAGAAAACATAATAGTCAGGGATAGTTAAATCTGTACAATCAAATCACCAAAATGGGTAGTGTTGAAACAATTATTTTTACACATTCGTTAAAGATTTCAGGTTAATTTAATACACATTACCTAAAAATTACAACTTTCGGTAATGCTCTTTTTCGGAATAGGGGAATATTCAAATCAGTCAGTTATATATTGCCCACCCTTAATAACATCCTGCATACAAAGCCAGATGATGATATTAAGAGATCCTTAATTTACTCAAGATTATTAATTTCTCTAAATAATTTTTACCATAATAATTTTAGAATCTTAAATCACCCGTGGAACCTATATATTTATTTGTATTAATAACAGATATAACAATAATACCTAAAAAGTTTACATCCATGCCAATTTCTTTTATGGTCTCACACGGTAACGAAAATGTTTTATGGGATCAATTTTTCGTACAACGTCAAAATAGAATATTAAAAAGACTTAATTCAAAATATTTTCATATTAATTTGGAAAACAAAATGCCTTGTTTCCATATTACAAGCGAGTGGAATAATTTTCAAAGAAGAATGTATAATTCTAATATGTTGGACAAAATAGTAAACAAATTGGTATATATTGTTTTATATTGTGTATATTTATTAAGTAATATTTTTTTAGAAATCATACGTTAAAGAAATCGAAAATTTACTACAGGAAAAAGATTATGTTGGTGTTGAAAATATTGTCGACGAATCTTTGCAATATTTGGCTACGGCAGCTGTAAAATATTTAGATATAATACAACGATATAATTTGGAAGAAGGAACTAAATTAGAACAGGGTAGAATGAAATTATGTGTTAAAGAAATGGTTATTCTAAAACCATGTCAAAACAAAAATAAATAAAATATTTTTTTTAGACTGATATTACTCAAAATGCTAATTTAATACCCACTGACGCTAATAGAAAAAGTGATTTTAAGGCTTTATTAAAAAAGTTAAAAGTACTGGAACGCCTAGTGGAAGAAGTAAATAAATGGCGATAATGATTAAATTTAATAATTCTGAACAAAAACGGATAACTAAAAATTTGTTTAATCTTAAAAAGTTAAAACGTTTTTATGCCACAAGAGTGGTCATTTTTTAAAATGAGAATTACACAATTACTTTTTGAGAAACAAATAGAACCTTCATTATTTTATCAGGAGCTGAAGTGTAACTAAATTATTATAATTCTTAACCAGGATGTAGCATGCAAAAAATGAATGATTGAATGAAAATCGAGGGCAATATTTCATCAAAAATGCTTCCAAAAGCGCGGATGTAATTTCCACTTTGACTTCAAGTATTTTTAATAATATTGAAATGGTGGCAATAAATAATGTTCACATAAGCGGCAGAAAATAGAATATTGTAATTGTATTGACCTAGGCGGTAAAGTGACATTTTCCAGGCTGTAAAAAGCAATCTTTAGCGAGCATGGACACTTCTTAAAGGCTGGAAAAATTTCTTTACCGTCGTTGTTTACAAGTTACTTTTTTTTCGTACTTAACATGACTGCAAAAAATACTAAAGATAAGCTATGTTTTCATGATAAATATATAAAAAAATCTCAAAAATTAATCATGTACTTCCGATTTCAAAAAATGACTACCCATTTGCTCCCCATTTATCTAAGGGGTGTTTTTGGATATAAGAATTACCTAAATTCGAAGCCCAGATTTTTAAGTTACTAATTTAGTATGTATACCTCTGGTATGGTATGGGCCTTACCATCTCAAATCGACCAGGCGTTATTTTTTGTTCACCCGTAGGAAATTTTAAAAAATGGACAGAAACATCGATTTTTCTCTCTTTATGAGTGACATTTTTTATTGAAAATTCGATAACTTGGCCAAAAATGTTTTGATCGTTACATTTTTTTTTAGTTGTAGGTAAATATTTACTACAAAAAAATGTATAAAAAATAAAGTGAATTTTCTCAATTTTTTTTAAGTCAAAAAAATTGAGGCCAAAATTTTGACATTGCCACATTTTATTTTACTTCATATTTTTTTGTTTGAAGTTGATAATATGAACAACTTTTACCAAAAGTCCCAAGTTGGCTAAATCCGTCGTTTCGGATTTATTATTTTTTTAATGAATATGCCATTTTATATTAAATTCGTGGTTCGTCGCAAACATTTGGTATTTTATCAAGGGTCATGAAACTGGGGTGACCTTCAAAAAGTGTAATTTAGAACTTTTTGACATATGTAACATATTCTTTCACTTCCGGTTTCACCGGAAATTGCCTTCACTTTTTATTTTTTTATGAAACACCGTGTCATTTGTCAATTTTTGACAGGTCAACTCATTTTTTGATTAAATTTTATTTCTATGTATATCTAGAGTGCCTTGAATTGGCTTTTCTGCTTTATGTTGGGTCAAGTAGTCTGGAAAAAATACAATTTTATTATTTTTTTGTAATGCTGGTTTTTAGGAGCTTTTTAGCAGAATTGAAAAAGCATACTTTATGCCAGAACTATTTTTTTTAAATAAAAGAGGGTGGTTCGTTGGTCATAAAATAAATCCATTTTTTTTATAATTTAATACCAAATATTAATGCATTTTTTAATAATATCGCTTTCAAACTCTTAATTAAATTAGAATGTTTATTAGGTTTTAGTGTGTGTTCAGAAGTAAATAAATTAAGAAGGCTTTGAAACCTTTGTGTTTAAAAAAAAGTATCAGATTTGGCAGTTCGTTAGTTTTGTTTTGATGGTAAGTGAATATTAACATACGCTTAAACTTTTTATAAAATAAAATAAAATAATAATTGGGGTGGTTAGAATCAAAGGGGTGTAAGTAATTGCTCAACATTTTTGGTTTTAAAACTACTAAATAAAATCATTCAAATATTTTAAAACTATAATAAAAAGTTATATCTAACCGCCCCATAATGTGGCCATTATAGAAAGTCTCTGGCTATAAATTAAAAAAACCGAAATATGAAATCAAATAAAAATTGGTTATTTTTAAACATAATTAATAACATGCGCAATAAGGTGAATTTAATGTAATGTAATGTAACGTAACGTATTTTAATTTAAAAGATAAAACTGTATCACCCTATGGACGCGTTTAGCCAGCATATCTGTGGGTAAAAGGCATAAGGGGTAAGTCAAAACAAGCAATTTTTCAGTAGAGCCTTAAACGTATTCGCATTAATTCAGGAAACATATTTATGGTTAGCGGGTATACTCTTTTCTTAGCCCATGTCATATGCTAACAAAAGCATATACCCGCTAAACATAAATATATTTCCTGAATTAATGCGAACACGTTAAAGGCTCTATTGAAAAATTGCTTTTTTTTACTTATCCCCTTATGCCTTTTACCCACAGATATAATGTAACATGTAAAGTAAAGTTGGTTAACTTTCTTAAATTATGTTACATGAAAATGAATCTGCGCTTGCGCGGCCTAATACCAACCTAATTTACTACAACAAAATTTGCCATCGAATGTTTAAAGGTTAGTTATATTTTTTGTGCTTAAAATCTTTGTATTTTGTTTAAAAGTACAGATAATTATCATTCAGTCAACCGAAGCCTTACCAACATCGGTTTCAAAAAACACCATGTACTAAATTCTATTAAATTACGTCATGTTACATTACGTACATTATATTAAATGCTGACTAAATCCACCTTTAGTTTCTGGACCTCTTAGGCTTATTACTTATTTTCCTTCCTGATAGAGCCTCAGTCAAAAAGAGTTTCGCGACTGCCTCACTAATATCTATCAACGGACCAAAATTTTTCGAAATTGTTAGTGTTCTACATTTCTTCATAATTGCGTTTTTATAAGTTTATTGTGCATTCGATTTATATATATATATATATATATATATATATATATATATATATACTTTTAGGTATATAATACTTAATATTTTTTATTTTAACCAAAATTAATTTACGTATTACATCTTTTAAAAATAACACATGCAAAAATATTAAGAATTTTACTCCAAAATATTTAATAATTTAATTTACCTACTTAACACTACTAGAGCATTTACAGTAAAACCAGAAGTGACAAAAATATGTTAAATATGTCAAAAGGTTCTAAATTACACTTTATAAAGGTCACCCCAGTTTGATCACCCTAGATAAATACCAAAATACTGTTTACTAGAAAATGGCATTTTCATTAAAAAATAATAATTTCGAATTTAGGCAACTTCAAACGAAAAAAAATATGAAGTAAAAAAAATGCGGCAATGTCAAAATTTTGACCACAATTTTTTTTGCCTTTTTTAGAAAAAACAATTAAAAAAAAAGTGTTAATTCACTTAATCTTTTATATATTTTTTTGATAAAGTAAAAAAAAATTGTAATGATCGAAATATTTTTGGCCAAGTTACCGCATTTTCAAGAAAAAATGTCACTCGAAAAAAGAGAAAAATCGATGTTTCTGTCCATTTTTCAAAATAAGGGTCTCATCGATTTCGGTAGAGAAACTGTAAAAAAATTCGTTGAAAAATAACGACCTACCCCTTTTTGCCTGGTCGATTTGAAATGGAAAGACCCCTTATTTTTTGTAAATAATAAATTGCAATTAATAAAAAAAGTTAAGCATAGCACTAAATTCATTAGAACAGAATTTTAGTTGGCCGTTTTTTTACCTAGTAGTGTATGTATATTAGATTTTAAATAAGAACGTATATTTTAGGCTCAGTATTGTTGGCCAGATCCATTTATTTGGATGATAGTTAAAAACAAAAAAATTTCTGGAGTACAAATAAAGGCAAGAGACATTGTTTTTTCTGCACTTGAAGAAGAAAGTGGAGAAAGTTATAAAATTGAACAAACAATATTTTTAACAGTTACCTACTATTTTTGTAAAAATAATATTTTTTTTATACAACCTAAATACTTTTAGAAAAGCATACTTAATTCGTCTAACAATTTTACATGCAAACTACGGGTAAAATTTTGGTTAGGAACTGAGGCACAAAGAGATCATGTAAAAGATATTATTCCTGAAGGGTATATATTTCCTGAGGATAAAAAAGAACCCAAGTATTTAGTTGCCAATGAATCACATGTATTTAATATACTTATTAAAAAAATATTTCTTACCAAATAATTTATTTAGACCTTCCAATGTAAAGCTCACATATTCCAAGGAAAAGTTCGACCAGGATATGACAGAAGTGGTTTAGCTGATTGCTACGTGTTAGTGTATATTAAAGATAAATGGAATAAAACAAAGGTTTTATAATACAATTTTTCTCGGCATAATCATTTACTAAATGTTATTTTAATTTAAGACAATAACACAATCACTTAACCCAATGTGGGATCAAACATTGGTGTTTAGTAACCTGGTTTTGTATGGCAGCAAATCTTATATTAAAAATAATCCACCAGATATATTTGTTGAGCTTATAGATAAGGATAGAATTGTAAGCATAAAAATGTTTGATTTTAATTACTTTATGAAGTTTTCATAAGCAGAATATTTATTTCTTAAAATCATTTCTTAACACTTTCGTACAAGTTGTAAACCACCTTAAAATCAGCGAGACCAACGTTTAACGTTATATGGACGTTGTGTGCTGATTTTTCCTTATTAGTCGTTATTAATAAGGAAAATTTCTGATCAATAAGAAATTTCTCTTAGCGCGTTGCGTGTTGCCCATAAGTACCCTTGTGATTGTTTTCCTTCGCCGTTAATTCGTATGTGATTTTTAATTTTTAAAAATCAGTGGTTTACCTCTCGCTTTCGTAGTATCACATTTATTGTATCATTGTATTTATGTTTAGGGTGCAAACGATTTTATTGGCCGTAATGTGGTAAGACCTACTGTAAAACTAAAAGAAGAACCCTATGGACCACCTTTTTTTCCTCCAAAACTATCGTGGTTATCGGTATTTGACGCACATGAGCAGAATGCTGAAATATTAAGTGCATTTGAATTGTTAGAGGTAGTATAAAAAACCCTTTGATAAAAGGTAAATAATTCCAACATTCAGACTAGCAATGATGAAATAGAAGATTTTAAAACGGAAGCCAGAGAAATAAAACCGTTTTCGACTAAAATACCAGTAGATATCAAGCCTACATTTCAGAGCTATAGAATGGAAGTTTGTTTTTGGGGTGTCAGGAATTTGAAATCGGTTTCGGAAATACAAATTAGAAAACCAAGAATTTCCGTTATTATGCAAGATGTAATTCTAAACTCAGAAACTGGAAATGTCGATAAGGCCTTGAATTTTCGTGATTGCGTAAAAACTTGTGATTTGGTATATACAGAAATCATAATATATAAATTTACTAAAATTATGTTGTTATTAGTTTTTACCAGATCAAGAAGAATATAGCCCACCATTAAGAGTTAAAATGTTTGACAATAGGCAATTCGGAATATACGTTTTTGCAGGAATATTTATCTCGAAAGTACAGCCTTTTATAATCCATTTAATGTCAGCTGAAAAGAGGAAAAATCTACTGGACAATATAAATCGAATATCCGATGATTTTGTAAAATCTGATGATACAATAAAAGATCAAACCAGAAAAGTTAAGAGTAAAAATTACATCTTAAATATTACAATAACCTGATGTGCACTGAAAGAAATTTATGTTTCATATATGGACTACCACATACATTGCTAAAACAAACATATAATATATTTACCTTAACCATTTTTATATTTAGTTTTAACATATTATGTTAAAACTAAATATAATATATGTTTGTTTTAGCAATGTATGTGGTAGTCCATATATGAACCACAAACATTGCTAAAACAAACATATATTTCTTTCAGTGTGGGTCAATTGATTTAATTTAAGTTTTTTATAGCACCATGTAATTTAATAAAAATTTACTATTACAGATGTTATAATTCAAATTTTAAGCGAGCGAACTTTAAAGTCTGAATCTATAAGCGAGGAAGTAAAAAATCCTAGGGAAGAAAGAATTAACCCAATTGGATTTCTTAAAGATCGCGTTGGCTCCTTTATTGGCGCAATAAGGGAAATACGAAAACAATCCAAATCTTCTGAAAAAACGCCAACAAAACCGAAAAGATTATCGGTTTTATTGACAAGGGAGGAAACAGATTATGTGGACACTGATGACTTTGATTGGTGGACCAAATTTTATGCATCCGAAAAGGTAAATATTAAACTGGTTTTATTAAATGTAATTTTATAATATACATCTTAGGAAAAGCCCAAAGATATAACGCAATATATAGTCCCTGTAATGGAACGAATCAAATTAAAGGTAAAAGAACAATATGAGTATGGGGTGAAAAGTTCTAGGCACCATATGATTTATGCTTAGTTTAACAGTAAAAATTACCAAAAAGGTGATTTTGGATATCTAAATTGCCATATAATTACTATAACTTAACTTAAAATTAACCAACACCGTTTATTAAAACATCTATAATTATAATTAATAATAATTATTAATAACCAATTTTAGGGTCAGTTTGATATTATAGGCAAAAAGCTACAAAAATTAGTAAAAATAACATACTATAGTAAAGGGTGGTACAATTTATATCAACACTCTTAAAATTAATTAGTCAAAAATAACTAATTTTAAGTCATATTTGACTAATTGTCATAGAGAAAAAGCAGTCACTAATAATTAGTCAAATTCTACTAAATGAAATAGTCAAATTAGTAGATTTAAATTTAAAAAATGTTTTGACCCAGCCAGGGATTGAACTCAAGTCACTTGTCAAGCTTCTCAAACGGTTGTCATGACCCATTCGGCCATCAGCCGCTCTTATAAAAATCAATTTTATTTGTCAATGAATATTGTTTATAATATTTTAAAGTTGAATATATTATTTGTTTTGCTATTTTGAGCTAAACTTTTTGCATCTTTATTTGTTTTTATGAGTCCTTTAACAATGGCGCATAGGTATATGTATTTAATTCAAATAATACTTTGTTGTTGGCCGCAAACGATTAAAGAAATAAGTTACTTTTAACTCTCAGAAATAGTCAAAGATTCACCATCTTTTACTATAGTCAAGATTATAATCTTAAATTAGTAAAACTTTAACTATTTCCGTAGTAAAAAATAACTATTTAAAAGTGAAAACGACCATTTTATTAGTAAAAAATGCTGGTACTAATTCAAATAGTAGAATTTTGACTATTTCATTTTTAGAGAGTATGATTTCGCCGGCAGTAAACTAGAATAAACTAGTAAAGCATTAAAAATTTCGGGTGGAGACTACACCGTGAAGTGCCCATAAACCATTCTCTTCACTTTCACTTTAAAAAACGACTTCTATATGAGATTTAAAGGGTTGTTAGTCCATTTTGGATAAATTGATAAATTTCAATTTTTACACATACATTTTGATTGGCGCGTTTGTTTCTATTAAGGATACTCTTTTAAAACCAGAATTAATGAACATAGAAAATCGTTTATAAATCAAAAAACAGATTCAACTTATGCCAACCATTTAATTCAAGAAAACCATTCATTAGCAACAGGTTTTTAGTCACGGACTGAAGTTAGTTTTAAGTTAGTTTACAGTTGTCAAATGTCATACAATCGTTAAAATAAAGTGTCCTTCTTATGAAATATTAAATATAAAAAAGTGTTAAACAGTTTCTTAACGCCAATACCTATTTGAAAAGTAATATGCAAGATTGCACAGACCTTACTCTCTTAAAATGAATTAGTTAAAAATAACTAATTCTAAGTCATATTTGACAAATTGTCATAGTGAAAAAGCAGTCAGTAATAGTTAGTCAAATTCTACTGAATGAAATAGTCAAATTAGTAGATTTAAATTTAAAAAAAGTTTTGACCCAGCCGGGGATTAAACTCAGGTCTATCACTTGTCAAGCTTGTCAAGTTGTTGTCATATCCCATTCGGTTGTCAGCCGCTCTTATAAAAATCAATTTTATTTGTTAATAAATATTGTTCATAATATTTTAAAGTTGAATATATTATTTGTGTTGCTGTTTTGAGCTTAACTTTTTGCATCTTTATTTGTGTTTATGGGTCATTTAATTCAAATAATACTATGTTGTTGGCCGCAAAAGATTAAAGAAATTAGTTACTTTTAACTCTCAGAAATAGTCAAAGATTTACCATCTTTGACTAATCTTAAATTAGTTAAACTTTAACTATTTCTTTAGTAAAAAATAACTATTTAAAAGTGAAAACGACTATTTTATTAGTGAAAAATGCTGGTACTAATTCAATTAGTAGACTATTTCATTTTTAGAGAGTATGATTTCACCGGTAGAATGAACTAGTAAAGCATTAAAAATTTCTGGTGAAGACTACACCGTGAAGTGCCCATAAACCATTCCCTTCACTTTCACTTTGAAAAACGGCTTCTATATGAAATTTAAACGGTTGTTAGTCCATTTTAGATAAATTGATAAATTTCAATTTTTACACATACAATTTTGTCATTTTGATTGGCGCGCCGGTAATACAGATTCCTAAGTTAGAATTACTCTATTTTTTATAGATGTCGCTTTATACAAATATTTAGTTTAAATTATTTTTAGATAATAATTAAAATTTGTCGTAGAAAAAGGTATGGGTTTTTTCCGCCCAACAAGAGGAATAATGAACTTATATATACAGTTTTTTTCAGATTTCATTATTTAATGTGATACTAATCGGAAAGTTTAAATTTTAAAAAATTTCTTTCAATAAAAATTGTGCAATGAGAGTTGAAAAGCATATTATTACATTTAAGATCATGCATTCGTATGCTCATAATATACTAATATAAATATAAACATTTTTTAAAGTGATTTTGACACTTAACTATTCAAAACTCACAAGCATTGTTAGAAAACTAAAAACAATGCTAAAACTTACGACAATTATTTGAAATGTTTTAATAACGATATTGTTCAAGCTAACATATTCTGAAAAATAGTTTTCGTTAGTTTAAGGAATGTTGAACCTAAGCATACACTGAAAGAAATATATACTAAAGTTAAATAAAAAAATAATTAGGGCAAATATATTTTATGTTTCATATATAGACTACCACATACATTGCTAAAACAAATATATTCGTTTGGTTAGCAGCCTATTGCTGCCCTAGCAATATAAATGGTGTTTCTAGCAATATTTTTTTGCTGTAATTCACTTATAGTTTACATTTTATAGTAAGGGTAAGTTTATTTTTATTTAGATCTAACATATCTTCTTTACAATAAATGTATTACAAAATTTACCATACATTCATAATAAACAGTAGTATAAATGTGTAAAGCACTAGTATAAAATTTTTAGTATAAATTTGTATTTACTTTTAGCAACAAATTTCTTTCAGTGTAATATTTAAGACCTTGTTTACCCTAACCTTATTAAAGATTGTATGTGTTGTTTGAATGTTTTTATTGAAGATATATCCAAACGAACTCGAAAAGCAGCCAGAATTCAAAGGTTTCACTGACACTCTGTTCCCCTTCGAAATATTCAAAGGAAGGCGCACTGGAGATCATGCTCTGGACGATACAAAAATCACGGGGGTTTTCAAAGGAAATATAAAAGTTTACCGTTGGCCTCCCGAGGAGGGGAACGCCGATTGCGTTACCGCCAGTGGCGTGAACGTGAACGACGGGGGCATTTTTCAGGACCTCCCTCGAAATCTCCCTTTGAAATTCGTTGCCAGGATCTACGTAGTGCAGGCATTGAATTTAAGACCGAAGGATGTTTTGGGAACAGCAGATCCTTATATTCGCGTTATTTTTAACAAGGAAGTGGTGGAGGACAAGCAAATTTATATCGCTAATAAAAGTAATCCTATATTTGGAAGGTAAGTTTCCCCTTTTAAACGCATATAAAATGAGATAACGAGACTTATCTTTTTAGATGTTTTGAATTTCAAGGCACATTTCCCGAGGATAATACTGTAACTATAGAAGTTTGGGACTGGGATAGACTCTCTAAAGACGATTTAATTGGCAAAACTGTAATAGATATAGAAAATAGATTTTATACAAAATATAGAGCATGCTGTGGAATATCAGAAGTATATCAAAAGTAAATAATTATGGATAAATATCTAAACCTAAAAAATAAAAAATTCAGTCGTACCCTCCAAATTTAACTTTCGCGTTTTCAGCTGAAAAAATCAGCTGTAGATGCGAAACTTAGGTCGTCCGCTTTTTTCAGAAATCCGCCATTTTCGCATTTAATGAAAAAAATTGTCGAAAAAAGAAAAAATTGGGTCGGTTATACCGCGCGAATCCTGTAATTTTCAATTAATTTTTCGTAGATCTAACTCTAATTTTTCGGGGATTTTTTATCGCTTATCCGCTTCCAAATCAGAATGTAAATTATCACACTCAAAGTTTTGGCGCGCGAAGACGTTTTTATGTAGTCTATAGTCATAAGTTATGACTTATAACAATTTTAAGCAGTTGCTCCTTTAGTGCTTGTCGTAACGTTTTTGTAAATACAGGCAAACAATCAATTACTTATAATCTAATATTAAAGTTAGATTTTGTCCCAGATTTTTATTGGTACATTGGAGTGTTGTGGAATATTTTCCGGTGTTTCCGAAATACTGTTTCTTGCTTTTCTTTGGACAAAAAAATGTTTTATTGTTTGATTTTATATGAAAAACAGACAAAACAAAGATCAATTACTTTACTTGAGTAAAATATATATAAGGTTATGTTCGTATTCAAAATATATAATATATAAAAACACTTTCATTCACAATTCTATTATACTATCTACGTTTTTATAGTTTTGCATACGAATTTATAATTTCTCAGACTTGGGTAAAATGTATATAAGGTTATGTTCGTATTAGTCAAAATATACAGGGTGATTCAGACTTGTGGTGACAAAAGCTCAGTGAAAATTTCTCTCATCAAAATATGAAAAAAGTTCCTATAAACACGTGTCCGAAAATGCTTCATTATCGAGATACAGGGTGTTTCGTTTTTTATTTATAGCTTAAAAACGCTTTGGCCGATTTTATTAAAATTTATATGGTTTATTAAATAATAAATGATTCAAGGATAATAAAAAATCACGTAAAGTTTCTCTAGCTTTAAAATTTAGCATGAGTTTTAATTTCCCAAGTGTCAAAAATTTTAGAAATATAGGCCCCCCACCAAATTCGGCCCAGGGCCTCAAAACTTTTAATCCGGCTTGTGGGAGTGTGGAGTTTGTAATACGCTAGTCTTAATGACTAATATTAGCACACTATTTTATTTCGTCTATCGCAAAAAATTGAAAATCAATTTCATTTGATATTTTAACTGACATTTAACGACTGTCATCAACATTTTTAACCTCATTTTTAACAATTTCAACTTAAAGTTTACTTCAGCCCGTGGCAAAATGGGGTTCAAGTTAAGAAATTAAATGGTTATTAAAAATAGTTATTTATGTCACAAGGCCGAGAAGTCACTTTTTTTTTGCTGAGATTAAAGTTTGAATGCCGACGCGTAGCGGAGCCCTACAATTGAGGGAAGCACAAAAAGACACTTTTTAGCCGCATAGTATATAATATTTTATCTTTAAGGCATAATTTTATTTGTCAAACAATATCTAAAACGTACAATTTTAAAAATCTTTAAAAGTAAAAAGTGAGGTTAGATTAGATCTGACATTAGTCGAATTTTATTATTGGTCCAAACGGGTTTTTTACAAACGAGGAAGTAAAAAACTTTACCCGATTACCTGTTTGGTTTAAATCATACAAGCGACACTAAGTGATTAAGCTGGGACTTTATGGCGTTTAGTCACGGGCTGAAGATTTTATTATAAAATATGGTTAAATTTGTCTGAGAGTTGACATAATATGTCATATGACATATTATGTCAGATGATTTATAAACTTTTAACAAACTCGCTGGCAAGCTTTGCTCATGCCTAATTAAAACTCGATACATAATATACTATTAAAATAATACTTGCGTTTATATGTATTGGTTGAGTACGTATAAAAAATAGCAATATTTTTCTAAAGAAAGAAAAACAGTAAACATTAATTACATAACACTAACCAATTATGCTTAGAACACTAATCAACCTATTATACAATGTCAATGTCAGCGTCAGTGTACCATTTAAAATCATACAATTTCAACTAAAACCTCACGGGTTACTTTGACAACAGTAATAGTTAGTTTTGTAACATCAATGAGTAATGTCGACAACTAAAGTGATAAATATTTTGCATATTAATTATTATTTTAAATTGAGAATAAGTGGATTAGTGTTATGGGCATCAATGAATACTGATTTCATACAAAAAATTAAATTTTAAAAAACTTTAAGATAAATCGTTTAAAGGATACATACCATGTAAAGTATCGTATCGCTTTTCGCAAACTGGTATTTATAATTAAATTTCTTGTTTAGTTAAGGAGGTTTGAGCATGATATTAGTACCGATAAGAATATGTTGAAAAAATTCTAGGTTGCAGTAGAGGTAGTTACATTTTCGGAAATTAAAAAATACGATATTGAAATCCCTTTAAAAAAAGAGATGTACTTAATAATATGGGCCCTAATATATATATTATACTTTTGCTCAATCATTTAAACTGGACCCGTATAATTACGACAATCTTTTTCACCTTTCATCCGGCAAAAGTGAACCATTCAGAGCGCGTTATTTGTCAGTTTTTACTAATCAAAACTAATTTAAAAAGAATATTGGACAAAAACAAATTGCAGCAAATATAATACTGGTACTTCGAGGTGATTATTTCTCAATTTTTCAATTTCGATGCCTTTCAATTTTGAATTTTTGGTTCATTAAAATCGAATCGAAATCAAAAATATATGTCGAATATTTTGAGGTGTGGTATAGCGACTTTTCAAAGCAAGCACAAACAGTTTTCGCTATATCACACCTCAAAATATTCGACATATTTTTTATATCTCGTAGTTCTATATGAACATTTTTGTAAATGGTATGAAATTATGTAAATGGTATGGGACATTGCTGCAGGAACTTGTAACATAACCTCGTATAAATCTGGGTCTACAATTGTTGCAGGTCGTAGATCGCAGAACATAAGCTTGCGCAAAGCACCCAGCTGACACAAGAACCTTGCTCCATCGCCACGTCGCGACGTGTCGCGGGGTGCTTTGCGCAAGCTTATGTTTTGCTATCAGGCCCCTGCAACAATTGTAGACCCGGCTTAAAAGATTAAAACGTAATTAGAAACGGAACATTAAAAATTGTCTCCAACAAATAACAGAAGAGTAACAAAACTACCGAAACTCTAAGCAGAACCGAAACACCGAGTATGGAAACGAAACCAGCAAAGCCACCTGAGTAACGAAATCGTAAAGAAACCTCTTGGTATTGAAACGAAATTTAATTGTTAAATATTTGATATCTGACGAATTTAACATCAATTTTTGTAAAATTATAATAAATTTAAGTCCGTCACTAAAATGCCCAAAAGCCACTGTTGTTAACTTCAGCCCGTGACTAAAACTCCGCAAAGTCAAATATAATTTAACCATTATGACTTTTATTTAAAATATTAATATACTTGACAGCTTGACAGCTACTAGACAGATCACAATGATTTTTACCAGGGTGGAAGAAGAAGGTGATCTCTATAGTACAGAAGCAAGCGTCCAGATAAGTTCGTTCGTTCGTTGTTCGTTAGATGGCGAGTCAACTAAGGTTTTACCAACGAAATCCATATATTCTATAACAACCTAACTTTTAACAACAAATTATAAGATAAAGAAAACCCAAGGAGAGTCTTCTACCCTCCTTAACGAAAATTACATCTTTTCTTATAGCATTATTATAATAATTTGCAGAACGATTGGCAACTGTTCTGCCAAAATGCACAGTCGCCACAAACGCACAAAAGTGACTTTGAAATGGTTTTATTTGAATTTTAATTAAGCTTAGTGGTCTATTCTTTGAAGTGAAAATGGGAAAAGTTTGATGTGCACCGGGATTAAAACAGGTTCCACTGCAATGCGCCATCTGTTCAGACTTTTAACAAATACTGAGTTATTTGGCCTCGTTCCGGGATGCATTTTTCCGTCTCCTATAGGGCTAGCGCAACCGAGTGCGCTAATCGTGTAGGATACGGAAGCGAGACCTGTATCTCCGTTCCCTAAGTGGTTAACGCACCGCCTGTAATTAGGTATTCTCACTAGAGGCTAAATGTAGCAAAGTATTTCTCAAGGTTATGACGATTAGCTATCATTTTGGTTATGCAGGTACACTGCATTGTGCCATACCAAACTAACCCAAAATTAACAACCCAACCCAACCGACCCCGCCCCATTGGGCCCCTCCCGCCCCATTGTCACAATCCAGCCTGCCCTTAGATATATTATAAATTCGGCCCAGGGCCTCAAAACTTTTAATCCGGCTTGTGGGAGTGTGGAGTTTGTAATACGCTAGTCTTAATGACTAATATTAGCACACTATTTTATTTCGTCTATCGCAAAAAATTGAAAATCAATTTCATTTGATATTTTAACTGACATTTAACGACTGTCATCAACATTTTTAACCTCATTTTTAACAATTTCAACTTAAAGTTTACTTCAGCCCGTGGCAAAATGGGGTTCAAGTTAAGAAATTAAATGGTTATTAAAAATAGTTATTTATGTCACAAGGCCGAGAAGTCACTTTTTTTTTGCTGAGATTAAAGTTTGAATGCCGACGCGTAGCGGAGCCCTACAATTGAGGGAAGCACAAAAAGACACTTTTTAGCCGCATAGTATATAATATTTTATCTTTAAGGCATAATTTTATTTGTCAAACAATATCTAAAACGTACAATTTTAAAAATCTTTAAAAGTAAAAAGTGAGGTTAGATTAGATCTGACATTAGTCGAATTTTATTATTGGTCCAAACGGGTTTTTTACAAACGAGGAAGTAAAAAACTTTACCCGATTACCTGTTTGGTTTAAATCATACAAGCGACACTAAGTGATTAAGCTGGGACTTTATGGCGTTTAGTCACGGGCTGAAGATTTTATTATAAAATATGGTTAAATTTGTCTGAGAGTTGACATAATATGTCATATGACATA